CCCCCCCCCATCTTTTCTTTTCGAGGAGCCCCGATCTAGATTCCTCTTACTCTTCCCTCCCACAGGTCACTTTATGAGGGCTCCTCAAAAAAGTATTAGGTGGATTTAATGTAACAAGAATGGAATAATGAACTTTCAGAAAAAGAAAAAGGGTGTCAAATCCCATATGCAAAGTAAAATACAGAATTGTAAGGTATACTCACTTTCCACCCTCAACTAGTCCTTCAGCAGCTTTCTCTAGAAAGTCTTGAACTCTTTGGCTACCCTTTGGGGCAAGTCGAACGAACTCGAGTGCTTTGACCTACAAAAAGAACCAAACCATAACTTGTTAACATCATCCTAAGGAAAGAAGTCGTCAAGGTTACATCTGATGACACTTACCATGTTTTTAGTAATGAAACGACCAATCGCTGTTAGACGGAAGCTACTCAGTGAAAAATGGCTTTTGTCCAAAGGCAAGTACCAAGGAACTGGCGAATTTACAGCAAGATCTTTCTCCCAAACAACCTGATGTAATGTGGCCATGAATATTATGAGATCATTGCTTTAAAGCCATAAATGATTCCTCTCATTCATTCATGATAAAGCTCTTTTCCAACTAACCTCAAAACCTGCTTGTTTCAAAGCTTCAAGGCATTTTCCTGTCAACCTGATATCTGGAAGACCATCACCAATCTCAATTTCTGCCTGCACAATGGGAACTTGGTCAATACAATCCATATTGGTGATCAATCATTGTGCAATCAAGAATCTGCCAAATAGAACGAACCAAGCCAAATTACCTTAATCTTTTGATGTTCTTGGTTATTTGGATCATAAGCATCAGCCATGCACCATTCGTAAGCAGCAAAATGCTGGCCAGGCTTTAGTACTCTATAAATCTCCTTGTAGCACCCATACTGCCACACAAGAAAAAAGGAAAAGTCAAACCGAGATGGCCAATGCACGTACATATCACAAGATGATATTCACGCTAAATCAACGATAACTGCAGTAAACTCAAACTCTAATGCTTCAGAATGTGTTAAAAACTTACTGCATCCGGTGCGTGGCAAGTAGCTTCAATTGCATATACTGCATCAAACGAGTTATCGGGAAATGGCATTTTCATGAAGTCGGCCTGCAGTGTGGCGAGAATATAAGTGAAGTATTAGTAGGCTTTCCTCTTCAAGTTCACAAACAAAATTTTGCAAGACTAAATGTAATCTACTACAAAAAGAATCCAACCTTCACAAAGTCACAAGTCTTATCCACTTTTGCAATACGATTCAGTTCCTGATGAATTAAAAAGCGAAAAGGAAAAGTACAATTATCTTACTGCAAGATATTGACCGGGACATATCATAATAATAGCAGAATAGTAATTATGAGGCAATAATTACCTTTCCTCTTGAAATCTGATACTCATTGTTGTTCAATCCAGTAACTGAAGTAGAACTGCAACAGAGAATCATAGGATATGAGACACTAACCATAAGCATAAATGTAAAACATTTCAATCCAGCATCAAACAGTTCGATCGAGACAGTAGACAATCTAGTTGTTCAAATTATTTTAATTCCAATATATCAAAGGCAAAAATACTCCAAGTGGGTTAATCATCACACCTAAATCTTGCAATTTCTCTAAGTGGTCCACCAATTCCACATCCAACATCCAACACCTAGAAGTGTTCAATCGAGACAGAGTTATTGTCGATAATTCGAAACGTACTAAGTAAATTTCTCCATCTGCAAATGGAAAAACACAAACCTTCTGTCCAGGCTTCAAATTTAATTGCAAAGCAAGGAAGTGCTCGTGCCTCTTAATGCTCTCCCGAAGAGATTCACCATTCCATCTAGAGTGAAAAAATATGCATGTTTAGAGTTGACATTGCAAAAACAAACACACATTCTACCCTGCTGAATAAAAGAGGTAAATTGTACACCATACCTAGGCGCAAAATGGAATGACTCGCCCCAACCGAACTCGTAAAAGCTCGTAACAAGATCATAGTATTTATTAACCTGTGGTAAAACATATTACACAGCCATGGGACGGGAGATTAATAGTCTAGAACCAATATGGTGACAAGGGGATGATTCTTTTACCATGTCAGTGTAGTTGGCTTTCCTCTCCGTCTCGTCGCCTCCATAGCAAACATGGTACTTCTCATACCTGATTCAACATAGTAAAACTTATAAAACAAAGATAAACAAGCCCCAATTCATATACAACTATTCAGGCCAAATCTTCATTCTTCTCGTGATATCCAGCCTAATTTTCCCACTGCCTAGTGCCTACAAAATGGTACAGAATCCTAGAACGCCCTGTTTCATTCAAAGCATCCACATCTAAACTTAACAAAAACAGATCAAGCAGAACATGCAGAAGCTTAGGCATAGAATTCAAAGCAAATGTCAAAAACAGAGAATCAGTTGCTCAATCAGCTAGTCAGTGACAGGATTTTACAAATGGAGGTCCATTAACCAAACAAAAAAACAATCTAGGAATACAAATTTAAAGGCAGAGAGAGAGATAATGTGTGTGTTTTTACTTTTCAACGGCGGAAAGAACCTCGTTCTTATCTATCTTGCCGCCAAGGCCCGATGCCAGATCCAACGCTCCAGCTTTCGACATGAGTGTGATCAAAAGCGGCGTCAAAGAGATCTAAAACAACAATTGAAGCAAAAGAAGCATCAGAATGAGAGTAGAAGCAATGTTTAAGCATTTTTTGTTTGAAAATGCAGAGGGAAAGGGTAAATGTGAGTGTGATTCGTGTTGAGCAATGAACATTACGTTGAAAGCGGAAGAAGATCTGAGAGAGAAACAAAACCAGATGTCTGAATGGATGAAAATTTGAAAAGGAATCTTTATAGAGCAAATCAGGGACGAACAAGAACAGTAAATGCAGTGATGAATCGAATGGCCGGCTACGAAAATCTCTCTCTCTCTCTCTCTTCTGGTTGACAGCGCACACTCCACGTTTGGGAGACGAGAAAAATTGTCACTTTGCCTCCAAACAAAATTTGAAAGTGCATTATCTTAATTAATTATAGATAAATAAATATATTTTCTGTTAATTAATTATTGAAATATTTATATTTTTTAAATTTTTATCACATCTAAAATATTTTTATAGAGCATTTAAAAAAAATACAATTATTAGAAATTTTGTTAAAAACGAAAAATAAGAATAAAAGTTGAGTGGGACCCACGGAAGAGTCAACAAGCGTAATAAAAGGACGGCAAAGAGTTGACCCAAACTTGTAATTAATTGAAAAAAGTAAAAGCTTTAACCTTAATTAGCAAGCCCAAAGAGTAAGTTTTAAGGACAGGTCGTTCAAGCTACATCCACCTATGGCCATCAATGTTCTTGTACTCGGTATTTAATTAGTAAGACACGTATCATTAACAAAAAGTTAACGAATTTCTTTTTTAATAAGGTTAGGGTTTGAACTGCTGACATGTTAATCGAAGATATAATCATACAATTTGGACAATTAAGGTGTTACGTGATTTCTTCTTCGATAGACATAGATAGAATTTATGGAGCAATTACTTATACTTTTCTAGTCATAAATATAGTGAAATAACCTTTTCTATTCTTTCCCTGGACCTTGTGATAAGAAAGATGTTCACTTCTGAAAATATCCCATAAATGTAAGTGGGAACAGGGGAAGGGGTTAGATTTATCTCGCCTCCCTTGGAAACGAGAAGGATAAGGGACTTGGTTGCCAATCTAAGACTTTGACGAAGGAAATAGTCACTTTGGTTGGCAGTGGGCCCATCATAGGTGCATGCAATAGGATCAACCAGGGACCCAGGTGGTTAGAATGTTTCCGAATGCTTCTACTCCTTTTGTTCTATGAATCCCAACTGACTCTGCTATGTAATAATAAAAGACCAATACAGATAGATGGAAAGCCAATGCTTTTCCCCTCGCTCCGAGCCAAAATCTTCCTGTAGATAGTGCCAAAAAAATAGGTTTTAGAAGTATAGTAACGGTCCCTCACACTAGAGATGTCCACTTTACCCTGAACATTTGTGGGAAGAGTGGAACAAGGGATTTATCGTTTAGACAGGGAACGGGAGATGAGCAAGGAATATTTATTTTTCATTAGATAAATGAGGTAGATGATGGGATTACATTCTCCGTTCTCGTCCCCGCTCAATTCCCGATCTTGCCCTTCTCTTTTTTGGACCTTAATGAACGTGTACATGTAATTGGGCTTGTTGGGCTTTAGAAAGTGCAAAGTTGTTGGGCTTGTTGGGCTCTTATGGCCCAATAAAAAATAAAAACAATGATAAAAGAGTGTTTATATTATGAAATCTTAGCTTTCCTTTCTCCATTAATAGAGAGAAATATATTTGGTGTTCAACATTTTAACTTAGTTCAAGAACACACAGCTAGCCTCATCAAACGTTTTAATTACAAAGACTATGGATCAAGCAGCCGTTGCATCATCTACGTCGACACCGGACCAGGGGGCATGGGCTCTAGTATGCAGGAACGACGCGTACGTCGTCGAGCACAGGGCCACAGAGGGATCCAAAGTCGTCTATTCTAGTGTGGTAGTATGAACTGAAGAATGTGATTCTGGTCCTAGTTGAGATGGCTTTGAACCTGAGAATGCCAGTTTTGTAAAGGCCCTTTCCTTGAGATTGGAAGGGAACTTTGACAGTGTCTTTAGCAGCAAATGCTTCAACCATCATTGAGCCATGGCACCCGTTCTTCGCGTCACCGACTTTGAACGTTAGAGAGTAGAATTTGTTGGGGATGGTTCTTATGATTTGAGCTATGGCGCTTTCTCGCCCTGCAACGAGCTCGATCGCTGCAAGTCCAACAGGGACATTGAAATGCTCTGAATCAATGAACTTTACTGCCTTGAGAGACTCTATGATCCAGCCGGGAAGTGGAGATGTGATGTCTTCTTGCTTTGGAGGAAGAAGAACTCCATTTGTCGAGTTTACTAACCGATGAGGACCAACCTCGAAGCTCGGGTTCCTGATCAAGTTATCTGCAAGAAAAATGGTAAAAGAAACGATGAATATCAAACAATGTGTAACGACCCAAGCCCACTATTAGTAGATATTGTCCTCTTTAGACTTTCCCTTAAGGTTTTTAACACGTGTTTGTTAGGGAGAGGTTGTCCAAAGAGTACAATATCGGCTAGTAGTGGGCTTGGACCGTGTATAAATCTCGAAACAATCAACAAACATGTTGGGGAATGTGACTTTACATCTTGTTGGCAATGGAGGAATGAGCTGTTTGATGGCAACAGCATCCAGCAGAGGTCCACAAGCAGGATCTTCCTGAACTCCAGGATTGTAGAACGTCACCTTAACGGAATCGGCAGGAGCTATGAACCCGAACGCGTAGACATCGCCTCCGTTGCTGCTGTAAAGAGTTTGTAGAGGCAAACTTCCATTTTGGGGAGGCACCAAGACAGTCAAAACTTCATCTTGTGCACATGTTCTTGAAGCTCCAAATGTAAGAGCATAAAGAGACCCTTTTTTCAGTTTTATGGTCTGAGATATGGAGGCTTCGTTGCCGAGCCTCACGGCGTGGACACCGTGAGCGACGGCGAAGAACATTCCTCCTGGTTGAGGCCCGCCGGAGATGTACTCAACCAAGCCATTGATTTCCCAGTTGGGGAGAGAGTCTTTTCCCATTATTACTGTTTTCTTTAGTTTAGTTTTGGCTGGTGCTAACTCAAAGTTCCCATTTGCTAGCAGTCCTGTGAGAGAAAAGAAGCTCAGCTCAATGTTCATAATGGGGAATACAAACAGGTCACATTCATTCAACGTCGCTGTAATTCCACGATGATATGATATTATCTGCTCTTACTCTAGGCCTAAATCTATACAATTCTAACAATGAATGTATTAACTTCAGTTATATATATCGTGAATCTTACTGTAAGATCCCATCTCGGTTGGGGAGAAGAACGAAAGATTCTTTATACGGGTGTGGAAACCTCTCCCTAGCATGTGTTTTAAAAACTTTGAGGGGAAACCCGGAAAGAATAGCCCAAAGAGGACAATATTTGCTAGCGGTGGGCTTATGGTTGTTACAAATGGTATCACGCCAGATATTGAACGATGTGCCAGAGAGAAAACTGAGCCCCAAAGGGATTGACACGAAGCAGCGTGCCAGCAAAGATGTAGGCCCCGAAAGGGGCGGATTGTGAGATACCACATCATTCGGGGGTGGAAACCTCTCCTTAACAGGCGCGTTTTAAAAACCTTGAGGGCTAGCTCGAAAGAAAAAACACAAAGAGGACAGTATCATATAGCAGTAAGCTTAGGGTCGTTACAAATGGTATCAGAGTCAGACACCAATCGATGTGCTAGCGAGGATGCTGAGCTCTGAAGGGAGTGGACATGAGGCGGTGTGCAGCAAGGACGCTGAGCCCCGAAGGAAGTGGATTGGGAGTCCCACATTGATTGGAGGAGGGAACAAGTGCGAACAAGGATGCTAGACCCCGAACAAATCTTACATCGGTTGCAGAGGAGAACGAAAAACAAGAACAGATGGAGCTCTCTAGTAAGCACAGAACGAACAAACCAGAAACTCAAAAATGCAAGAAAACCAGCACAAAACATTCTTTAAAACAAACCACAAAGCAAAAGAAACAACATTTTGTACAGTAAACCCAACAAACAAAATCCAAAACAGAACCAACAACAAAGCAAAGAGTACCCACAAGCAACCATCAATGGCAGCACAAACAGCTAAAAACAACGAACAATCCCACAAAAACAGATACCCAATTCAAAAAACTACACAAAGGGGTTTGAAAATGAGTATCATACCTTCCAAAATGGGCCCTGCAAGGACCGAAGAGGCCAAAAGCAAGCAGAAAGCGAGCACTGGCAATGGTGAAAATGGAGAAGAAGCCATTTTTTGGGAGATAGAGAGGAAATGGAGTGAAGGGTTCGAGTGGAATGGATGGGAAAAGATTGAATTTATAGTGATTAAAGCAGGAAGATGCGAGGAAATAGAAGGAGATTAATTAGGTGTAATTAAACCTTACAACTGAGATTTTGAAATATGAAACATTGCTTCTGGATTTGTCCGCTTTTCTTCCATTTCGCGACCGTTTTTTTCTCCATGATTCGTGGACTTGATGGAGCTGCCAACCTTGTCGCTTCTCTTCTTTTTTCTCCAAACACCATTTTTGTTTTATATTATAAATTCCATCCAACTCCCTAGGATCCATTAGATTCGAAAATCTAAACGTCTAACGTTCATGTCAGTACATCTCTTAAAACGCGTGTGAGATCCAAAATCAGCTGGAGAGAATAATGAAATATTCATTATAAAATTATGAGACTGATAGCGACACATAATAGACCAAAGTAGATAATATCTATTAACGTTTAAACGATTACCAATGATATTAAAGCTAGACAATGGGCAGTGTGCCAACAAGGACACTGGCTCCCAGTGAAATAGATTGTAAAATCCCAAAGCGATATGTAACGATGGACTTCTGTTACAACTCGAATGGTATATATTAAGTCTTAATGACTTTAGAACGTTTTATACTTTAAATTTTATGTTAATAAATGTCAACATAAACAAAACTGTAAAAATTGAAATTTATTAGACATATTTTTTTTAATTTTAAGTAGGATTAAATTGAATACAATTGAAAAAATCTGAAATAATTGCGAGATTCTCTCTCTTCAATTTACTTGGAATTAATGGCTTCAGTTGAGAAAGCAATTAATTAAATAAATAAAATAAAATAAAAGTGGGTAAAATTAATTATTTTATTTACCGCTGAAGTCAATTAAATTCGGTAAATAATAGTTTTGAGGAATTATTTGAAGATATGTCAGATGCCATTAATGTAATTTAATGTTTAATTTAATATCTCAACAATGACATAATAATGGCCTAAGCTAATTGATTACGGTTGATTTTTTATATTTACTTCTTTTGTGGACAAATTTTTTTAAAAATATATATAATAAATATTTTTACACGAGGGATCTTAAATGAAGTTTATTTCACCAGCCAAGTTAGATTTAGTCATCCCGAGATGAACACAACTAAATCTAAAAGAAAATATTATTTTAGATTAAAAAAAGTAACCAAGGACACGGCTTTGAATATTTTACCCAAAATTACATGTACATTAAATTATTAAATCTCTTAGGGGACTGTGGTCTCTTCCTAGTCCAAATACATTCAAACCTAAGTAGAAAGAAATAATAATAAAATAAAATAAAAATTTAAAGGTTTGATTTCATTGGTTAAAATTTATGGTAAAATATTTTATTATTTTAATTCGGAATCCCATAAAAAAGAGGATAAGGCTACACCCACAAGCTATTTATTTATTTTATTTTATTTTATTTTTTCGATTAATTTTCTTTATTTCTTTATTTCTTTATTTTATTTTATTTTGTGTTAAAGTTAAATTCAAATACAAATATGTAGTTGATTTAGGATGATAATGAAATTAAATTAAATTTAGGGTTAATTTGTAATTTAAATAAAATTGATTCAGCGATTATTTAATATGAAAATCCTTAAAAAGAAATAATAATAAAAATAAGCGGGATGCGTAGGATATCAAATCAATAATGCTAGCGTGCGCCTGCTAAAGTGAGGCTTTACACGTTCATATCCCATGTGCGTTGTCGATTTGTCGGCCGGTTCCACAAAATAATAATAATAATAATCATAATTTATTAAAAAATTAATATTCGCCGAAAAATATATTTAATTAAAAGTGACACGTGGCGTTATACGGTAAGGTGGATGGGAAACGGCAGAACAAAGATTTTCTTCGATCGAAGACTAGTTTAAAGCTAATGGGCTGATTGGGGGCCCATTTCCCATGTGCTCTCAGGCCCACTTCCTCAATCACTTTTGTAATTTCTTTTTAATTTTTTTTTAAAAATTGATTATCAAAGATTTTATTGCATTGCCTTTTAATTTTTAGATTAACAGTAACGTGAGGTTTGCTAGAGTGACCCGAACAATGAAATCAATGAGATGAAAGTAAGTAAGAATAATGATGCATTTAATCAATAATTACGGTAATTATAGTTAGGTAATCAATTATTAATAAATAAATTAACTATCATCTACTACGTCGACGCATTTATTTCCCTATTTTAATATATATTGAAGAAAATAAAATTTCCTATACAAATTATTCATAATACGTCACTAATAGTGTGCCTGAAGATTAGAAATAAATAAATAAATGAAACTCATTTAGGGTTTTGGGCTTGGATCTATATGTTTGATTGATTGGGCCGAGCCCAAAAATTTGTCTAAGACTATTACCTTCCCATTGATATTGGGCTATTCCTAGATTGGGCCTAGCCCAAGCATTTGTCGAAGCCTATTACCTTGCCATTGATATTGGGCTGTTCCTAGCTTGGGCCGAACCCAAACATTTGTTGAAGCCTATTACCTTGTCATTGATATTGGGCTATTCCTGGCCCTCCTCGTAGGTTTAACTCTATAATAGGGAAAGTCCACCTCCTTGGTTTATTACGTACGTTATTTTTACCATTTTTAAAATATATCTACTGGGGTGAGTTTCTACACACTTGTAGAAAATGGTTCATTCTCCTCCCCGCCAATGTAAAAATTGACTGTATCTACTAGGGGTGAGTTTCTACACACTTGTAGAGAATGATTCATTCTCCTCCCCGCCAATATAGAATCTCGTAGAAATTGACTTCTCACTCATTTTTTTACGCTCAATCTCCATTCTCTCACTTCTATACTCCTAGTCTGAACCCTCTTTGTTAATTAAATTTTTACCCATCTATCCTCTCATTGGAACCGCATTTAAATATTTACAAATATCAATAATCTTCCATTTTAAAATGAATAAATTATATAATTTAAATTAAAAAAAAAAAAAAAACATGAGAGACTGAACAAATATTTATTGAAATAAAGTATCGTATTTTTTAAATTTAACAACATGGTTTTAATTAGTTTACAAATTAACTTCTTTATATTCTAAAAGTTACATATTTTAGATATTTATACATGTCATATTCAAACGAATTATATATATAATATATATAAAACCCATTAAAAATGAACATAAAAATCCATCCCCACATAAATATCTCCAAGTCCAAACCCGGTTTCCTTCCAACTCGCAGCCATTCCTCCTCCCATTTCCATGGCAGCCCTCTCCGCCGGCCACCGCTATTTCTTCGGCTCCGCCGCCGTGCATTTCAGAAACAGAAGCATCAGCCCCAGATCGATCGTCCTCCTCTGCCTCCATAACCAAAACCCTTCAGATCCTTCAGATCCTTCAGAAGAAAAGCCGAAGAAAGAGCAAGAAAAAAAACAGTCGATTCCAGGGTTTGTTCAGAGATTCGAGAAGATGGGAATAGAATTGAAGGAGAAATTAAGCCCTCAGAGAAAAGGAGACTGGAAAGATTTGACATTGATGAGCCTTTCATTTGCTGTTTATGTATATATTTCTCAGAAGATTGTCTGTGCTTATTTTGTTTGGATGTCAATGCCAAAGCAAGTATGGTAGAACATGATGGATTTCAAAGGGGAGATTTACAGATCTCTTTGTTGTTGTTGTATGAAATCTGTGCATAAGTTTGTAAATGTGTACAAGGAGTTCTTAAATCTCGATATTCTTAACCAGATGAGCTATGTTCGATTCGATTCAAGAAACTTGTAAAACTTCAAATCTAAGACATGTTTGTAAAGAAGAGAGTAAGTGAATGCATTATTACAAATATTCAACTCAGCCACTGAAAACCACCTGTGTTAACAACTAATGTTTGATGCAGAGGAGAAAATTCAAGACTAATAAGAGAGACAATGAATTAACTCAGCTCAGTGTACCTAATCAGCATGGCGTTTTTCGCGCTTGAAGAGACGGTAGAAAAGCGATATCAGCCATTGCCAAATAAGGATTAGTTGAGTAACTATTACGCCATGCTTCGGTTTTGGCTCGGGTCTGGGACCAAATATTCCCTTGTAGATCTCCTTCTGCTTTTGGTAAACAGCCTTGTCATGTTCAGCAAGTAATTTTAACTCCCTTGTGATTGCCTTGTCCTCTGGTGCGTACTTGCGTGCTTTTAGTAGGTCCTCCCGAGCTGCGTCGGTTTGCCCGAGTTCTGTTCTAGCCTTACCTCGTCTAAACAATGCCTTGACGTTGTTTTCGTCCTCTGTCAACACCTGTCAAACATTAAGCCGCTTGAAACGTTTAGCGGAATTCATCTCAGGAGTTCAGTTTGTGTTCATGAAACTTGTAGATAAGAAGTTGAACCTATATTTAGTACATCATCATCAATAGCGTGTTCTAGTTCCATGAAGCTACATAAACACAAGCTTATCTAATTGGTCCCTTCATATATCTCTCGGACCAAACACATGCTACACAAACTCAAGCTTGCACAAACCATCCAAACTCATGGTTTCCCAATTTTCCAAGCTTTATAAACTACTCAAGCTTATCCAAACGGCTAGTCAAAAGTCCTAAGATAGTTTTAATATTGGTGAAGAAAAATAACTCGAAATTCACATAAACGTGTGTATGTGTCTATGATGAGGAAGAAATCTATCTAAGTAGATCCAGTTATCATTCTCGGGTCCTCTTTCCAATATATTAACATTATTACCGAGAAGTTCTCCAAAAAATTCCATCCTCCATATTCAAAATTGGGAGTTGCCATATACCTATGATATCCTACATTGGTTGGAGAGGGGAATGAAACGTTCTTTATAAGGGCATGAAAACCTCTCCTGAGCAGACACATTTTAAAAACCTTGAGGAGAAGCCCGAAAGGGAAAGCCCAAATAGGACAATATCTGCTAGTGGTGGGCTTGGGTCATTACAAATGATATCAGAGCCAAGCACCGGGCGATGTGTCTACGAGGAGGCTGAGCCCCGAAGGGGGTTGGACATGAGGTGGTGTGTCAGCAAGGACGCTAGGCCTTGAAGGGGGGTGGATTGGAGGGTCCCACGTCGATTGGAGAGGAAAACGAAAAATTATTTATAAGGGTGTGGAAACCTTCCTTAGCAGACGCGTTTTAAAAACCCTAAGAAGAAGAACTAAGGTGGACAGCTAACACAATCTACATAATCTTACCACAGTGATGGCTGAAAAGCTCATGCAATATTAAATATCTCAAAGGCAGAATGAACTCATGACCATTTACTTGAACTATCTTTGAAGAAGTTATGATGAATCAAAGAGTCATGGAACACGAGAAACAATTTCAATTCACCTACACAGTGTCATATCTTACCATGCTACAGTGTGCGATGGCTTCTTCATAGCGCTTCAGCTTTATAAGACAGGCTGCCATGTTAAGATGGCATGGATTCTTAACAGCCAAAGCCATATCACGGTACTTCCCAAACAACTGGAACATGAAATCATCACCCATATATGCTATAGCCTAAAAAGAAACCATTAGGAAACTTGTCAAGAAGATGAAAGTTATTTTCTGGAATGCATTTGACATGGAATTTCAGTAACAGATGTAAAGAAAGAGAAGCATCTAACCATTTCATACTGTTGCATGGCCTCCTCCAGTTTTTCCTCCTTGAATAAAGCATTGCCATCCATCTTTCTGCGATCAGCTGCACCGATTCGTTCTTCAACAGTCATGTCACTTCTAGCTTTTCCCTGAGAAATAAATAGTCGATCGAAACATTTCAGAACAGATAGCTACTGTTGAAGTCGGCCAAAGAGATTGAAGGTTTTAAAGAGTGATATACAACTAGAAACTATAATGAATCTCACTTCTTTGGTCTCGTCAAACCCAATAAGCTCGACTTCATATAATACATCAGCCATGGGTGGAACGTTCGGGAAGGAAAAACTTCCATCCTTTCCATAAGCTAACTCCCATCCCACGTGCAACAACGCACGTTCACCGGATTTCATACTGGCAACACCGATGCTCAAGCCAGTCATTTCTTTCTTTTCTGTTACAGAAGTATAAGGAGGATATCAGAAAAACAAGTAAATGTTCAAATGACAGACCTAAATAAATAAATACCTTTTCCTAATACAAGTTCAAGGGGCTGTTGTTCATTCCAAGTGTCCTCGAATTTGTGCTGAGTGCTTTCGGTCCATGCCCGATAATGCACTGATACATAAATCAAGTCACTCATACATCCATTAGATCGATGGGTAAGAAATCCAAAACAACATGATCAAGAAAAAGCTTTTAAGGAGAGCAGAGATGTTGAAGATTTACATTTCTGATACAACGAAATTGTGACTAACAAAGCTACAAAAGTCAGTTTTTTGATAAGCTCGAATCTAAATCTCACACATGAAATACGTGCAAAACATCGTCACCAAGGTACCAGCAAGATATTGAACTTAGGAATAAGCATGTATGGTACTTACAAAAGCATGTTGCATATTTGGACGGCTTCTGACCGTGACCTTCCTTAACAATCTGTTTCGTAACTTTCTCCTGAAGAATTTCCGCCTCAGAATCAACTTTTGGTGGGGCATTGCCATCGCTCGGAGGCTCCCCGTGAACAACAGATGCACCTTCGGCTACTATTTCATTTTCATCATCTTGATCTGCATGGGACCAGAATTCCTTAACATCAACCAATTGTACTATCGGAATTCGTTGAAGAAACCTTTGATCTTCTCCATCATAACGAAAAATATTAGATGTTCTCAAATTGAAAAATTGATTGCTTATACATGTAAATATGTTTTGAATGACGCCAAGCACTGATTTAGAGAGACTCCGCCCATTATATATGATAATTGTCATTAAGAAGAAGAAATACACTAGAGAAATGGTCGAGGATTGAGCGTTTAAAAAAATAGTCAGAAATCATCCTAATAATAATTGTTGGGAAAAATCAAATTTTCCTGCATTACATAAATGTTAATGTTAACCAAACCAGATTCTTCTGAGGAATGCTTCCTTCCCCTCTCCAACCAATGTGGGATCTCACAATCCACCCTCTTCGGGAGCCAGCGTCCTCCTGGCACACGGCCCAATGTCTGGCTTTGATACCATCTGTAACAGCCTAAGCCCACTGCTAACAAATATTGTCCGCTTTGGCCCGTTACATATCATCGTCAACCTCACAGATTTAAAATGCGTCTACTAGGGATAGGTTTCCACACCGTTAAAAGGAATGTTTCGTTCCCCTCTCCAACCAATGTGAGATCTTATACTATCAACTTGACAGACTTTTATCGTTTCAGCTGAATTTTTCATTGAGTTGAGAGGCTTAAATGTAAAACACAAACATTCAATCATACACAGGGAAAAAGAAAGTCAAATAAATAACCTATATTGTGTTTCTGCTGTTCCTGTTCATCTTCCATTTCTTCACCTAATAACGCAGATAACTCCTCAAAATATCTGCATTGAAGAAGACTGATAAGAACAATTCCAAATAACCAAGAAAAAGTAGATTAAAATCCATTTAATTAAAAAGCATAGCCCATACAGTGCAAATCAGAAAGAAATCTTTTCCTCAGCTAATCAAATGACAGAAGGATTTCAAACATAACTCTAACACAGAACAGAACAGATTGATTCTAAAGGCTGTAAAATGTTTTGACAAGTTCAACAGCCATCTTCTTTCTTCCTATAAACATCGCGAACTTTCTTTCCAGCAGATTTTCTCAGCAATCAAGAACGAAACAGAGAGGGATTACACAGAAGAGAAATGAAAATAAGAGAAATTGAGGTTGCAGAGGAGGATCGAAGAACATACCAGAGTCAAAGTCGCCTTTTTTTCTTGGTGATTCGATCAATTTCGCTCGTATTTCCAGAGATCGAAGAAGATTCTAGAGGGAGTTCTTGCAATTTTGTTTCTAAAAAACAGATTTGAAGAGTTTATGCTAATTAATCGCTAGAGCGAAGAGCACGAAGTAGAGTGAAATGCAGCCGCGGTGTCCACGCTCATTCCTCGGCGCGTAACACACGCGCCCTTTTCTTTTGCAAAGGTAATAAATACATACACAAGCTTCGTTTGTGTGTTCACTTTAATATATATATTATTGATTTATTTATTTATTATTTAGTATTATTATTATTATTATTTTTTTTTTTTTTTGTGGAACATATATTGTGCTAAACAACGTGCCGGTTCGAATCCTCTCTAAGGTATAATATTGAAAATGCCCATTGAATTGGAATGAATGAATTCGACGTTGGACGTGAATTTTCGGCGAACTTCTCTATCAAAGAAAGTGCATTTTGAAATTGTCCCCCTTTGCACCCACCCTCGAGTATATACTTCGACGGAAATTAACATGGTAAATTGGTACAATAGAAACTAGACTTGTCTTGAATGGAGAGAAGATTCCTCGATTAGACTAGACGGAAAATGGAGAGAGAGTGGAAAACATTTTTTCCCGTTACATAAATGCAACCGGAGACAATATTATATTCCCGCTTCCGTCCTCGCCCAATTCTCAATCTCACCCCATTAATATAAATATATTTTCAACCCATATTACAAAATATATATATATGAAAAAAAAATTAATTAATTTTGAGACCGAAAACCAAAGTAGTAATTTTTTTTTAATTATTACAAAATATACTGTAATATTAACATTTAAATTTTTAAAAATTTAGTCAAATTATTTTGACTAAATATATGATTGTTTATGAAATATATGTGATTTTTAAATAATTATTTAAAAAAAGAATAATAAATAGAAAATAATTACTTGCCGAGAATCCGATCTTTATAAATTCTCCATACCTAATCTCGGTAAAAATAAACGAAAAATTCTGCTAAGATGAAAAATGAATAAGGGGTGAGGATGAAAACAGAGAAGGCTTTCCTACCGCTCTGCTCACTAGACATCTCTAATAACTATATTAGTAAATAAAAACTACACCAACCAATTCAAAACTTTTAAAATTCTATTAGCATAAACACGAAAGTGCTGAGACCAAAAAAGTTGAATACATATCACAATCCCAAAGTTACAACATGGTTTCAGCAAAACCTTAAAGAAAGCAAAGCAAAGATGTTGGAATTCCATTTCATGTCGGCAACCCATTGTCCTGTCTCTACATCTTGAGCTGAGCTCCACCATGTTTTTTCAATGCCAAATCAGTAGTCCCTTGAGAACTTTGCAAACTCAGCCTGCAAGAAAGAAGTTTCAAATGTGTCTCAATTTCAAGTCCCTAACTTCGAGAAGTCCGAAAATTTGCAACATTCGATTACGATTCGGTTCCTCCATTCTTGTGGGCTCTTGAGGAGCGGTGATGGTTAAAGAGATTGTCTATGGTTAAACTCTTCACAACTTCTCAATAGATATAATTCTTTCGACCTGGTGGCTTATGTGCGACCTATGACCCACAACCCTAGGTGCACCTAAAGTCTGATGCGCCAAGAATGGGTTGGTGTTCAGTGTCAATACAAGCTCGAAAAGAATGCTACGTATACCAAGAGAGTGACTAGAGGTTACTTCGGGAATAGGGTCAGGGGTAGGTGTCTTCGATATGCGATTTACTTTTAGGACATTCTAGCACTCCGTTCACTCAAAATGAAAGCATGTTCTTCGATAATCATCCCGAACTCCCCAACATATTACTTCTAACCTCTATCAAAGTCGATATCAGTTAACTGCAGTTTACTTTTCACTAAGAGTGCAAGTTAAATATTGCATGTTCTCTACCAAAACAGACTTTAGAGAGGCATAAGAGAATTCAAACCTCAAATCCGTTTCTCAAATGGTCGAGTTCCTTGTCCAGATCATTAATGGCTTGATTATATGCTTGCATCGGCGACGACTGACTAGTCGTATGGATCTGCAGAACACGAACAATCGGTTCAAGAGAACCCAAAATACATACATTTCAACCCAACAGGAAAAATAGGTACATGACGGATATAGGGAATTCGGTACATTCATTAGATTTCAAGAGAGAAATTTCCTAAAATATGTTATTGAGATGCATCTTTCAGTTTCAGGACATCATATTCATGCGCGATTCATACTCAAAGATCAACAAATGATAACCATACTGTTGGTATACCCGAGTGAAACATCGTCGCGAACAATCAGGATTGGAGCCAAGAACATACACAAATATTTACGTGCTTGCAGAGGTAAGAAATGGATAGTAGGGATGGATCTTAGAACAATTTTAAATCGTTAAAACGCAATACTTATAACAGCCCAAGCCCACTGCTAGCAGATATTGTCCGTTTTGGTCTGTTATGTATTACCATCAGCCTCACGGTCTTAAAACGTGTCTGTTAGGGACAGGTTTCCACACCTTTATACGGAATGCTTCGCTCCCATCTCCAACCGAGGTGGGATCTCACAATCCACCCCCCTTGGGAGCCCAGCATCCTCGTTGGCACACCACCCGGTGTCTGGCTTTGATACCATTTGTAATAGTCCAATCTCACCGCTAGCAGATATTGTCCATTTTGGCCCGTTATGTATCAATATCAACCCTACAGTTTTAAAACGCGTCTGTTAGAGAGAGGTTTCCACACCCTTATATAAGGAATGTTTCATTTCCCTCTCCAACCAATGTGGGATCTCATAGTACACCCTCCTTGGGAGCTCAACGTCCTCACTGGCACACCACCCGGTGTCTGACTCTGATATCATGTGTAATAACCCAAAGCGACCGCTAGCTGATATTGTTCGTCTTGGCCCGTTATGTATCGCCATCAACCTCACAGTTTTAAAACACGTCTGTTAGGGAAAGGTTTCCACACCCTTACAAGGAATGTTCTGTTCCCCTCTCCAACCGATGTTGGATCTCATATTTCCAACTACTACAACAACGGTGCTACAAAGATGAGTTCATTCGACAGTCCAGCGGGCAACTGGCAACCGAATGCATTGCCTTCTAGCTGAAATCTTGACGCTTTGGGACCAAGACTATGCCATTTGTAACTTCAATATATCATAATCGCCAAAGAATCAGTAGGCAGGCTTGTTTTCTGAACCAAAAACTCATTGAATGACTCCTAAACTCAGAAGCTTATCCAAATAGTCTCAACCCTCCTGCTTATTGGTTCATAGATTAGCTCCAGACTCAACAAATGAGACAATCCGACAGCAATTGGACAGGAAATGACACTGCAGCTTGCAGGGTTTGAGCTTAACCTCGACTACTGCTAACTAAACCACAGCATGAACTATGCAACATTCACACAATAAGAGGAAAATCAACTAACCCGGACAATGATTTTATACTTCAATGGGTGAGGAAGCTTATATCCAGCAAACAACACATTTTCATCTCTGTGCAGCTGCCTGTTCATCAAATAAACTCATTATCAACCAAACCAAGACCCAAACACGGTCGTAATCTCAAAATTTTTCAAAAGGGTTACCGTACATCCGCAAGATGTTTCCAATAGTGTGTTCCTCTCTTTCAATGGTAAACGACGCCGCATTTATGATCTTGGTATCTCTCTCGTATGAGACCCTGAAGAGGAAAAAAGCAAGCAAAAACGTAAGAGATTGAGAAAATTGCTCTGTATTGAGAGAGGAGTAGAGTTCATCAAATTACTTCTTAGTCCCCTCTGGAACGACGAATCGCTCGTATCGGTCGGGGGCATTCATGACTTTTGATCTTCTTCTTCTTCTTCTTCTTATGAAGCTCCTTGAGCTCTCCTTTGTGCAGAAATGGAAGCTTGCCCCAGCGAGAGAAAAATGGAGAACAAGAAGCTCTGGTTTGTTTGTCGTGTTGAGCTTTTATTTTTATTTTTATTTTTATTTATTTATTCGTGTTTTTTCGTATGGTGAAAATTAAAAAAATTAAAAAAGAAAAGAAATCCGAGTATTTGAGGTGGCCTTAAACGCAACACCGAGTCAATCTTCGTGCTCAATCTTCTCCGCCGCTCAATCTTCGTCCGCATCAACTCCGCCGCACCGACCAGCGCGGAAACGGAGGTTGTCAGGTTCCCGCCGCTCCGGTAACCATATTTCCATGTAAACCTTAACATTCGTTTTGTATAAATCTGCAAATTAAGCATTTAACTTGTTTGCGTTTCTGCAATTGTGTCTGCGAACTGCCAATCGCTCTTATCATCGTAGCATTTCTTTGTTTAAATCATTGGTTCTGTAGAGGATGTTTGTTAAAAGGAGTTCTTAGCGGTTGTTCCGCCACTTTTAAAGCCTCTCAAGTTGCTCATGATCAGAAATTTCTGAGGAGCGGACTGTGTATGAATTGAGGGATGATGAAGTTTGCTGGATGTTCTATTACAGCTTCTTTGACTCCTATCCAGCCTTTCATTCAGAGAAGCCATCCTAGGCTGTCAATCAGTGTTTTACAGGAGAATTTATATAAACCACAGAAACTTGGAGAAGGTTCAGAAGCAGAAATGGTTGCTAGACGTTATTCCCCTCCTTTGTTTAGGTGATTGTTTTCCCATTATAGTTAATGATCCGTGTTCCTTAATGTTCATATCTTTTGATTGAAATTGACTTTTATTCACTTTCTCAGTGTTGCTCCTATGATGGATTGGACTGATAATCACTACAGAACTCTTGCTCGTATGATATCAAAGCATGCGTGGCTGTACACCGAGATGCTTGCTGCTGAAACAATTGTTTATCAGAAGGATAATCTTGTAAGTTTGCGGGAGAATCCTTTGGGGAATAGCTAATTATTCAATATTTCCAACAAATTTAGTAAGTAGGGTTGCTTTTGTTTATCAAAGATGTCATTTCCTTCATTTTCCACATTTTACTCGAGGTTTTCAAAATTGTGTGCAACATGTCGGACTAGTAATCAATTATTTGAGGTAGCCCTCCCTCACCCTCAGGCGTACTTGTTGAGGATGGTTGGGAGGGAGCCTCACATTGGCTGATTAAGGGAATGATAATTGTGTACTTTGTTCGAGGACTCCAGAGGATTGTTGTGATCCTCAAAAGTGTAGTCAAAAGTGACTCAAGTGTCGAACAAAGGGTGTACTTTGTTCGAGGACTCCAGAGGAATCGAGCTTCGAATAAGAGAAGGTTGTTTGAGGGCTCTTTAGACCTCAAGAGAGGCTCTATGGTGTACTTTGTTCAAAAGTGACTCAAGTGTCGAACAAATGGTGTACTTTGTTCGAGGACTCTAGAGGAGTCGAGCCTCGAATAAGAGGAGGTTGTTCGAGGACTTTTAGACCTCAAGAGAGGCTCTATGGTGTACTTTGTTCGAATGGAGGATTGTTGAGCATTGTTGGAAGGGAGTCCCACATCGACTGATTAAGGGAATAATCATCATTGGTATGAGGCCTTTTGGTGAAACCAAAAGAAACGTCATGAGAACTTATACTCAAAGTGGACAATATCATACCATTGTGGAGAGTCGTGGTTTCTAACAGTATTGCCTCCTTGTTAATACGTTGGGTTAGTAAATAATTATGTATGCCCCCTTCCTCCACTCTTATGATCTTATGAGAAGATTTGCCTCCAGTTACCCCAACAAAAGATCCTGGCCTTGATTCCTACAATATCCCACAACTTTCATGGTTTATAGTCTGAGTTGGACCAAGGATTTCTCTCATTTTACCAACATCTGGTCACCAAGAGTGACAGCGATGCTCTAATTAGATTGAACCTGTCAACTGTTGACTGCTATTTTTTACCTGTCATTATGAGGATGTAATTAATCTCCAAATTGGCCTGACCTCATTTCCTGTTTGTTTCTTTACCAGTCCAGGTTGGACTAGAGTTTTCTAATTTTTGATTGGTGAGAGTGAAGAATTGATGGGTGTTTTATTTCTCAAAGAAGAGTTACCATCTTATTGCTACATTTTGCAACTTGCATGTTTGAACTAGTAGGTGTGTGAGTCATATGAAGAATTTCTTCTCTTTCCATGAATCAAACTTGATTTGATTATGATATGCTTCGAATATCTATGTTTTTCTTGACAAATTCGGTATTCAAAGTTCCTTCTTTTCATGTAATCTTCATTTATTTTGCACAGGACAGATTTTTAGCATTTTCTCCAGAGCAACATCCCATTGTCCTGCAAATTGGTGGAAACAATCTTAATAACATTGCAAAAGCTGTTGAACTTGCCAAGCCTTACGGCTACGATGAAATTAATTTAAAGTCTGTATTTTACTCATCTTCTTCATATTTCTTTAGTTTCTACAATAAATTCTTAAATTCTAATATCTTTTTTTAAAATGTTTTTTAGCTGTGGATGTCCAAGTTCAAAGGTGGCTGGACATGGGTGCTTTGGTGTTCGCCTTATGCTGGATCCTAAGGTTTCTGGCTGTATTTTGATTTTGATCATCTTGTATATTTTATATTCTTCAGCCATGTGTCTGACGTAGGCTTTTCATGTTGACAAGGAAAGTTTGTTGGTGAAGCCATGTCAGTAATTGCTGCTAACACTGATGTCCCTGTAAGCGTGAAATGTCGAATTGGTGTCGATGACCATGATTCATATAATGAGCTTTGTAAGGTTTCTACTCTTTTTTCTCTTGTTAGAAAGCACCGTCTACTGTTTCTTTGCTTAGATAATCATCGTTATGTCTTGAGGTTAGTATTATATTATCGACGACTCAATCATAGGAACTCTATGATTTCTAAAGTTAAGTTCGTTTAACTAGAGTTATTCCATGTCGGGTGACTTTCCAAACATGTGAACGAAGACAAAACATGCAAATCCTAGTCCGGATGTTGGGTTTGGGTTGATACAAAATATTCTTTCCAAAGAGTTATTCTAGTTTGATGCTACATCATGTGGCTTCTTAGTTGTTGATTTCTCCGCTCATGTCAAGCACTTTTTGTTTCAGGTGATTTTGTTTACAAAGTTTCTTCTTCGTCGCCAACTAGGCATTTCATAATCCATTCCCGCAAGGCGTTACTCAACGGTATCAGCCCAGCTGAAAATCGAGAAATTCCTCCTTTGAAGTACGGCTTCTTAAGAACTTTATATAGGCCTAGAGAACTTGTCATTTGTGGTTCAAGTATTTTTACTAAGAACAGACTTTTGTAGTTCATAATATTGATGTGGTCACAGGTATGAATATTTCTATGCACTAATGCGCGACTTTCCAGACTTGAGATTCACAATAAATGGGGGCATTAAGACCGTTGATGAGGTGAACTTTCTGCTCAGCTAACTGGACCTAAAAGTATCAGAAATTGTGATTTGTTTTAAATGATAAGGTTTTTACATCATAATTTAATGTTCATTTATTTTGAATGAGCTTGTACAGGCTAATGCTGCTCTGAGACTAGGAGCTCATGGTGTAATGGTGGGCCGATCTGCTTACCAGAAGTATGTTTATGCACGTTTTGAAAATCAATATTCTATAAGAGTTGGTTATGATATACCTTAATTTGACTGATGGCTGTTGTTCATCCTCCATAGCCCTTGGCGTACCTTAGGACATGTCGACACTGCAATTTACGGTGCACCTAGCAGTGGTATCACACGACGTCAGGTGCAATCGTAAACTTGGCTGTGAGATTAGATTATCCTTCTGCTTGAAAGTTGACTGTTATCTCATTTAGTTGTAAACTTTTCTATCTTCTAGGTCCTTGAACAGTATCAAGTATATGGGGATTCTGTTTTGGGTACATATGGAAATAGACCAAGCATACGAGAGGTTGTGAAGGTAAGTAAGATCTTGTTGGTGGTTTGCAGCCTTAAACATAATTTTTGTCTGTTCAGTTATTTGGTCTAATTTTTTTGGTCATCTTATTGCTTTATACTGATCCAGAACCTTTTCAATTGTTGAGTTTAGGTGATTTTTTTTTTTTTTTTTTTATTTCTTTTTCGGCTTCCCCTCAAAGTAGTTTTTAGAATGCATACGCTATGAAGAGATTTCCACACTAAACAGGCATTGCTCTCTTTGGGGTTTCCCTTTCGAGCTTCCCCTCAAGATTTTCTCTCTTTGGGGTTTCCCTTTCGAGCTTCCCCTCAAGATTTTTAAAATGAGTCTACTAGGGAGAGGTTTTACCACCCATATAAAGAATGTTTCGTTCGTTTTCCGATGTAGAATTTCACAATCCACCCCTTCGAGGTTAGCATCCTCGCTTCCTTGTTGGCACTTGTTCCTTTCTCCAATCGATGTGGGACCCCCCAATCCACCCCTTTGAGACCCTACGTCCTCGTTAGCACACCGCCTCATGTCCACCCCCTTCGGGGCTTAGTCTCCTCACTGATACATCGCCTAGTGTCTCGCTCCAATCGATGTGGGACCCCCCAATCCACCCCTTCGAGACCCAACGTCCTCGCTAGCACACCGCCTCGTGTCCATCCCCTTCGGGGCTTAGTCTCCTCACTAGTACATCGCCTAGTATCTCGCTCTAATACCATTTGTAACAATTCAAACCTAGCATGAGCATATATTGTTTCTTTGGGCTTTTCGTTTTTAGAACACCTCTACTTGAGAGAGGTTTCCACACCCTTTCAAATAATGTTTCGTTCTCCTTGAGATTTCATGTTTACTTCTTATGAAATCGGTGTTTCTCTCTTAATCAATACTGACTGTATTCTAGCAAAATGCATCCCACCCCACACAAACACCCGGTATGGTAACTCGTCTCCTGTATCTGCTGCAGCCGTTGCTTCATCTTTTTTATACAGATCCTGGGAATGGTCCATGGAAGCGTAAAGCCGATGCCGCTTTTCAGCACTGCAAGGTATGTAAAATATGCTACAGAAGAACAACTTCGATTTTAGTTTTACGAAACGAAGTATTAAATTTTCAACGTTTTTCGCTTGCATTGTTATCATAGTTTTTATCCCTCAAAAGTCACTTCCTTTTGAACCTTGGCTGGATAGCTTCTAAGTGAACTGCCTATTGGACATTTGTAGACCATCAAGTCATTTTTCGATGAAACACTTGTAGCAATTCCAGATTATATATTGGATGCTCCTGTAGCAGAACCACCATCTGGACGTGAAGATCTTTTTGCCAATACACTTAGTTTGATGCCTCCTCCATATGAAGATAGAGAGCAAAAGATATTATTGGAGGCTTAATTTTGTATCATTGTTTAAGCCATGTATAACAGCATAACCTTTGAATACATCTCACTTATTCTTTGCAAATTCATCGATCCGGTAATCAAAGAAGTTGCCCTTGTAAACCGGTCATTCATCTTACTTATAAGCTTTTCTTGTCTCACTACTCGTTGCCATTTGTTTTCCAACCATCAAGAGTCTCAAGGTAAGAATCTGCTGGTCCAAAACTAGGGATTAGATGATGGTCCAGTCCTTTTGGCCGGAATCTTCAAATTCAAAGTTCAAACCCTAGAACGACAAATCGTTCGACAGAGGACACCTGTAATATCTCCGATTCAGATCGCCTAAAACCTACTGACAAAAATCGCCATCGACGTCCTAAATTTCGAACCAAAATTACCTCCGATTCCAAATCTCAAAGAATGCATTAAGAAAAAATCCATTTCAGAAAAGATTTCGAATGATCGGCGAGAGTCCCTCAGTACGCCTAGCATCTACCTGGAAATTCATGGAGAAACTGGTTCCTCGACCTCTGCGAGAAGCATCGGGAGCGCCAGTGATGGAAGAAACCTCCATACTTGTTCAGATTACTAAACTTTTCGTCATCGGGACTCAATTAGCGATGCCTCAACTTGACCGGAGGCGACGGTGGAGGGAAGGAAGGAAGAGGTATCTGGAACTAGAAGACTACTCCCCCTCCCCTGCTATTTTAGGGCTCCGAGATATTTTATTGGGCTTGTTTCGGCCCATCAATAAACGACTGGACACGAAGTTGTGAATACGCTAAACACGCCCGCAGACAATCCGTCCCTTCTTTTTTTCATATTTATTAAATGTACAGTACAAGGAGAGAAGAGGATAATGTTCATCAATAGCGTGACAATTAATTATTAAATTTCTGAGACCCACGTGACCACCCACGTGCCCTCCGTTCATTGATTGCATGTTTCCACAGAGACGCGTGTCCACACTCAATCCTTTTCTCCCTCAAGGAAATCCGACACGTGGCACCATTGAGAACCGACATCCCCTGTAACTTTCATCTAGACCCTTTATTCATGTGTTTTTGTTTGGTATTTAGGCAAAAATTATAAAGGCCAAGAATCGATTGAAAAGGGAATTTTGTGTTTGTTTCCCGGGAAAACGAAAAAATGGGTGTGGCCGAAGAACCGATTCTCTCGCGCTTGGAGCGCCTCGATAATATGGTGAGTTGGGGGCTTTGCTTTCTTGTTTGTTTCTCGGGAAAATGACCAAGAAAATGGCCAAGAAAATGGCCGTCCCCCTTCTTTTCCTTTTTAATTTTACGTAATTATAATTAATCTTTAATTTTTTTTTTTTTAATTTTATTTTGTGTGGGTGAAATAGTTGAGGCGGTTGGAGGAAATTAGAGGGTGCGGGAAGTCGCCAAAGAGCTCGTGTGCATCCACTCCATCAAGTGGGACCCTCACGAGCGATTACCAAACGTCGTCCGTTGATCTTTCCCCAAAAACTCTGGAGAAGCACTGCCGTCCGATCAACCATGTGGTCAAAGTCACTGAACTCAGAGGAAGCCTCGTGGAGCGGATGGACAATATCGAGGATAGAGTCCTTAAGGTACTTTTTTTTTTTTTTCTATTTTTTATTGTTTTATTAATTTTTTGTTTTTCATTCGAATTTTCAGCTTTGTTTGCAAATAGAGGGAGAGATAGAAAGGGAAAAAGAGATGATAATGGTCGAGAAGGATAGGAAGCCTAAGAAAAGCTTTAAACAACTTATTCAATTGTGCCCGATGGGACAGGGAATACGTCGTCACCCATCTCGATCTTAGTATCGTAACCTTCGTTCAATAACGATTTTGTTTCGAGCTCGATATAGCTCACGAGCTAGTTCTAGTTTTGTTGAGTAAGTACATAAAATTTTGATGGTTTTTGTATATGTAAGCTTGTTTGTGACGTTAAATTTTCATCTTTCAACTATTGGACTCTCGTTATATAAGGTATAGTACTCTACCGCTTCGATGAAAAAAGGTTCGATTAAGAATAGGAAATAGAATTGGAATTGAAGGTATGTATTTTTAAATAAGATACAATTACCAATTAATACGTACACATAAAAATAAAATATAAATTAATTAAATATTGAGAATAAAATAAAATATACCACCAATCAAATCATAAAATAATATTTAAGATATATTTTATAATTAAAATATTATTCGAATATTATATTTCAACGAGTTCTGATAACTTAGTATCTTCATTAGGCGTTTTTGATTATGTAACTTGTCTGTGGCGTTAAATTTTCATCTCATATGTCTCCAATGGGACGCGCATTCGTCTACTGGACTCTTGTCATCTAAGATGTAGCACTCTACTAGGTTCGGGTAAATTCGTGAGGCATTGGCTCGTAGGGTTAACCTAGTTTTGATTTGGGCTCGTAGGGTTAACCTAGTTTTGATTTGGGCTCTTTTTTTTCCCTCCAAAATGGGGAGGATTTTGGGAAATATGATGAGAAATGGGATTTCCCGGGTATCTAATGAACTTAAATTAGGGGTTGGAGGGTAATTTCCCCATTTTTGGGTCCTAAAAAAGGGGGTCTTAAGAGGATGCACCGACCGAACATGTACACGTGAAACAGGATCGTCCCTATAGTTGGAGGGATGGGGCCCATTTATTGGACGATCATTGTGCAGATGGGACAATGATTGAGGACACTTACCCCTTCCTTTAGGGTCCCCTTTGGGGTCGGTGGGCCCCTAGTTTGGTTATGTTCAATAAATGGGAGCAAGGGATTTAGAGAGGAGGGTATCCCATATGGAAACTCTAGGATATTTTCTAGGTAGTAATTGTTTTTTTTTTTTTCCGAGTAAAAAATGGATAACGAGTCGGGTTGGTCGGGAAAGAGCAGAAAAGGAAGAAGAGTACTTTAACTTGTCTGAAGAACAGTATAAACAACGTCAGACTGAATGTGAATTGGTAGATAACAGGAAAATAGATAGAACGAAAGTCCAATTATTCCGATCTAAATGAACCTAAACGAAGGAAATTGAATCAATTTTTTTTTTGTTGAGGTGCATGTGAATAGTCGGGTTTTGGACATTTGATTTGGGTCAGATCTCGTCCTCCTCCTCCTCGTTTCCATATTTTAAAACAAAATTAGAATGAAAATATACAATTTACAAGGGAACGAAAATCAGTTAAATTTTGTTGTTATGCATTTGTTTACACAATTTGTCGGTTCATATATTCCTATAAAATTGTTTTTATTCATTTTATTAAATCATATTATTGAAGATAATATTTTAAATTTTTTATAAGATAATGTTTCTTACTTTTATATTGAAATGAGGTCACTCGTTAAAATAATATTTTTTCTTCGATAATATGTATATATAATTAAATTATTAGATAAAAATATTGAATTATGATTAATTTAATATTGTATAAAAAAATGTCCCAATAATTTTATTATCGACCATATATAATTAAGGTGGGTTATATAAAAATTAATTAATTATTTATTTATTTATTTTGAACCACTCCTTTGTGAGTTGTCCTTATTCCATAATTAATATTCTCTTTAAAAAAAAAAAAACATCAATGGGAATTTTTATTATGATGAAAAAAAAAAAGAAATAAATAAAGAAGGGAATAAATTAAAGGTATTTTTTAATATATTGGAAATCTGACTCCACAAGGTATCATCAGGGCAAAAAAGTAAATTCAAAATTTAATTTTTTGCATTTTGGAAAGGACAATAAAAAATAGAATACAATAATGGAAAAGACACCAATTTAAACGCAACCATCCATAATTTATGCTTTAATTCTAAAGGGAAATTATGCATTAAGAGGCATTTACATGCTTTTATCTAATTTCGGATAAATGCCAAATTAAAAAATAAAAGTATATTTAAGATATTATTTTCAAAAAATATTTGCTCAAAAGATTTTGTTCATTAGATATTGTAAATATTCCATTATGCCATATATTAACAATTAAATTTTGTTGGATAAGAACTGAATATTTATATAAATGATTTCCATTAATATTTTTAAATTAATTTATAGATTTGTATTTTTAAAAATATTTATTTATTTTGAGTAAAATTACATTTATACTGTACATGTGTCTCGAGAATGAGTTTTTAAAGGACATACTAACAAAAATTAGTAACTGGGAGTGGAGGGAGAGCTCGATACTGTGTTTTTGTTTGATATGTGAGGTTTAAATTTTGAAAATTTATGGCTGTGTTTGGCTCGGATCTTTTGAGATATTGTGGAAGACTTCATAGGTCGTGTAATTGTTATAATGTACTTGTTTGATTGATTTTAGCGCCAATTATAACACTTTTTTTTTCTATAATATTAATTTGTTAAAATGTGACGTGGAAAATATAACTATTAAGTTATGCATATTTTCGACCAAAGAGTCGGATATTGACAAATTTTAAAAATTAAAAAATTAATTGAACTATTTATAAATAAAATTTAACTTTATAATTAATGAAATTTTAAATTTTTTAATTTTATATGTAACAATGTATTAGTTTAAAAAAATTAGAAAGTTTATAGATTAAATTTTTTTAACCTTAATTTTTTTACTGCAATTGAAAATTAGGAATTTCTGTTGTCTGCAACTTTTCACCCCTCGATTTGACCGCATTTAACTAAAATTGACCAAACGACCAAATTCCATTGGCGTACTCCAAACATCCAATTCCAATCCACTTAATTTCTCTCCTTCAATTCCGATCCACGCCACTTCCTCAGCCAGTCAACACCTCGTCCTTCACTACCCCAAACCCCACCGCACTCCAACTGGTCCAGCCGGTCATCCCGGTCCCAAAAAGCTCCCCCTTCATTTGCATTTCATTTCGGGTGAATTTCAATGTCATTTCCCCTCGTTTCCTTCCAACTCCCCACATTAAATTTAAATTCCCCCAAAATTGTTCAATCCGCATTTCATTTCAATTTCAGACGTTACTTTCTTCTTCTTCTTCTTCGTCTTCACCGTTTTTCTCTCCCTGTGAAATCTCTGTTCTTATTTAATTTCTTTCACTGGCGCCGGAGATGAAGGCCGTAAGCTTCTTATCGCCGATCTTCTTTTTCTCGTTCAGTGAAGTGGCTCTTTACTCCTCCAGATTTTCCTCCGATCGATGAGTGTCACTGTCGAACCCCCGCGCCTTTCTTCTCTCTCTCAGATCTCCGACTGGTTTTCTTCTGCTGCTATAGATAACTGTGAGTTATCATTTTTAGTAGTTTGGATTTAGCATGAAGTTTAGCATTTTTGAGTAATCCGCACTTTTTTAGTGGGGGGTGAGTGAGTTCCAATCGAAGTTTAGTTTGTGTGAAGTTTTTTAGCTGTATTATTGTGGGTGTTGTATAACTATTGTATGTTTAGAATCGTGATATTAGGGTGGATGTTATTGATCTGCTTTTATCAGTTTCGTTATTCTTTTGAGCAACGTGCCTTGTTAATGTTTGGTTTGATTTCATTTCTGGCTTTTGATTCTAAATCTACTTTTTGAATTTGGTTTGGATGATTTTTTTATGTGTTCTGTTAGTTTGATTACTATGTTTGTTGATTTTCTTGGAGGGGAGGAGAAGCTGGTAGTTTTATGGTGATTTTTCGTGTAGGAAACGATTAAGTATCGTAGGTAAAGCAGATTGCTTTCAGTTTAGACTCACGACCTCAGATCGGAATTCTTACCCCCTCCTTAAAGACGTTTTCCCCCCATTCCGTTGATAGTGGGGTTAGCATCTAGTACTAAAATATAGAATCTTATGTCAAATATCAATTCAATATGCAGTGAGTGTGGTTCCCTGTGGTTTACCTCTTATAGGTCTGAATATGAACTTCTTTGATTTTTCAAATTCTTCAAAAGCTTCTGTGTGAACCAGTTTTCAACTTTTGGTTGATCCTTACTCTCTATTTTCTGTTTATCCGTGCACAATTGGAGAGTACTCTGGGTATATCGAGTTCTAACTTTCTAATATAGTTCAGATTTTCAGTAAAGATTTGTTCATAACCATGTTATAATATGTTGCTTTTACATGAAATTGTTGCTAGCTATTCCTGAACTAATCTCTTTTAGACGTTTGTTATATGTTTCATTTGAACAATATCTTGATCATCTCTGTATTTATTTCCTTGAGGCTTGCCAGTATATACTTGACCCTATGGTTTTGTTGACGTAATATAAGGCATTAATGCATTTTTCTAGGATTGCAGATATTTGATTATGTGCGGTGGTCCAGAAAAATCCAATTCCGCATCTACTACTACATCAGCAAGCTCACCTAATCCCAAAGACATGAGTCATTTAACTGTTGATTGTGAGGATTCTTTTTATAGTTTACTGGAGCTTGCATCAGACAACGATGCCGAAGGCTTCAAGCGTTTGATGGGGTCTGATTTGTTATCACTAAACAAGTCTGGGCTCTGGTATGTTCGCCAAAAAGGCTCAAAACAAGTTGTTCATGAGCATAGAACGCCCCTGATGGTTGCTGCAACATATGGTTGTGTTGATGTTCTGAAACTTATACTATCATATCCTGAGGTTGATGTTAATCTCTCATCTGGCACAGACAAAAGCACGGCTCTCCACTGTGCTACCTCCAGTGGATCTGTGAATGCAGTCGATATTGTTGATTTACTTTTGTCTGCTGGTGCTGACCCAAACGCGAAGGATATTAATGGCGATCGCCCTGTGGATGTCATTTTTGTTCATCCAAAGTTGCAGAAGCAGAATACAATGTTCAGGCTTGAGGAACTTCTCAATAATCATTCAAATGGGTCCATGGATGTTTCCTGTTTACGTTTGTCAATCAAAATGCCTGATTCAGGGTCACCACCACTTTCCTCATCGTTGGAGGATGAATTTCCATCTCCACCCAAGTCAATGTCTTCTCCCAAATTTACTGATGGGTTTGCAACTACAAAGGAAAAGAAAGAATATCCAATTGATCCATCACTTCCTGACATCAAGAACAGCATATATGCAACTGATGAGTTTCGCATGTTCTCTTTCAAGGTGAGGCCTTGTTCTCGGGCGTATTCCCATGATTGGACTGAGTGTCCTTTTGTCCACCCAGGGGAGAATGCTCGCAGAAGAGATCCAAGAAAGTTTCACTACAGCTGTGTTCCTTGCCCAGACTTCAGAAAAGGGGCTTGTAGGCGTGGGGATATGTGTGAATATGCTCATGGAGTATTTGAGTGTTGGCTTCACCCAGCTCAGTATCGAACTCGTCTTTGCAAGGATGGCACGAGTTGCAATAGGCGGGTCTGTTTCTTTGCTCACACAAATGAAGAACTAAGGCCACTATATGTGTCTACTGGATCTGCTGTTCCTTCCCCACGATCCATTGGGTCTGCTCCAACTGTAATGGATATGGCTACTGCATTGGGTCTTCTGCCTGGATCCCCATCATCAGTATCAGCTTTATCTCCATCTCCATTTGCTCAGTCCATGTCTCCCTCTTCTAATGGCGTTTCTCACTCTTCTGTGAACTGGCAGCAACCAAATGTACCAACTCTTCATCTTCCAGGAAGTAACCTTCAATCCAGTCGGTTAAGATCATCTCTGAATGCCAGGGATATGCCTCTAGAGGATTTTAATGTCTTGCCAAACTTTGACAACCAGCCACGAATTTTGAATGATATTAACTGTTTCTCTCAGCCTCGTCCGAGTGCCATTTCTGTGAGCCGATCTGGCTGGACCCAAACTCTAACTCCTAACAATCTTGAAGAGCTATTTTCTAATGAAATCCCTTTGTCTCCCCGATTCTCTGATCCAGCCACCAATGTCTTTTCCCCTACTCGCAAATCGACATTACTAAACCAATTTCAGCAGCAGCAGCAGAACATGTTATCACCTATAAATACAAGCATTATGTCTCCTAAGACTGCTGATCAGCCTTTGTTGCAGGCCTCTTTTGGAGTGTCATCGCCGGGAAGGATGTCGCCTAGAAGCACAGAGCCACTGTCTCCAATGGGATCTAGGTTTTCTGCTTTTGTACAGCGTGAAAAGCAACATCTCCGCAGTCTCAGCTCAAGGGAGCTTGGATCCAATGTCCCAAGCTCGTTGATTGGATCTCCTGTCAATTCTTTGCCTAAATGGGGGTCCCCCAATGGAAAGGTGGATTGGTCAGTTGGTAAGAATGAACTGGGTCAACTGCGTAGATCATCTTCTTTCGAGATCGGAAATAACGGGGAGGAGCCTGACTTATCATGGGTTCAATCCCTGGTGAAGGAATCCCCGCCTGAGATGCTAAGAGAGAAGTCGGCCGCGCCCAGGATGGGTGGTGCTGCAGCATCCGGTGAGGGTCTAACTTCTACTAAATCACAATTAGAATCCACTGATCATTCTGTGATAGGAGCTTGGCTTGAGCAGATGCAGCTTGATCAGCTTGTAGTGTAGCACAACAAAGAACATAAAGCCATTTTCATTTTACTCATCAAGATAGGTATTTCTCCCCAAAATTCTTTCTGGGTAAGGTGAAGCTGAAGGGTTCTAAGAGAGGTGAGGAGGATGATGATGATGATGATGATGATGATGATGATGATGATGATTATGATATGGAGGAAGAAGAGGAAGGATCAGATTTGATTACTCGATTCCTAAGGAGGATCATTCAATTACTTACCATTCATTATTTTACATCAACCAGTCAGTCAGTCAGTTCGTCAGCAGTCTCTGGGCCAAAAATATTAAGGAAACTTGTCCAGGTTCCATCATATTTCTCTCTCCTTTTTCTGCAATTTCATTTCCAACAAAGGCTTCTTGATTTAAAGCTTCGTCAGCAGTCTCTGGGCCAAAAATATTAAGGAAACTTGTCCAGGTTCCATCATATTTCTCTCTCCTTTTTCTGCAATTTCATTTCCAACAAAGGCTTCTTGATTTAAAGCTGTAGAAACCAAGAGCTTTTCCCCACCCCCTTCTATTTTTAATTTTTCCATCTATATATAAAACTAAAAGAAGAGGTTAATTATGTTCTTCTGCAAATGACTGTAAAACTTATAATCTGAAGCTTTTTTTGGTTATCTGTTCTTATTATGATCCATTGTGTTAATTGTATCATTTGTTACTGGAAATCTCGATGAGATGAGAGCTGCTGAGCTGATTTGTTGATGTGAGGTTTGGTTCTTAGGAGACGGAAAAGGATTGAGGATCTAATGATGATGGTAGCATTCTCCCTAATTGGATGTTGATTGCTTTGATTGATTGAAACCTTAAACTTGGAGTCTGAATGTTGAAATATTTCATAGCGTTCATAATGTTGTGGGTGCAAGTAATTGTCCAACCACTTTTGTGTCCCATGGAGCAAGTGGGTAGGCAGACTTTTTGAGTGGGTTGCTTCCTTTCCACTTTTGGGATAATATTTTCTCTCACTTTTTTCACAACTAATTTCTTTTGCTTCTTAAATGCTTAGATTTAAAGCTTCTATTTTTATCATTTACCATCACTTATATTACTCATTAGCTAATTTATTCTCTAGCTCCTTGTACTATTCATAAAATTCTAGGTATGCAAGAAAAGTCGTAGTTGCGGGTAGATATTATCCTCTTTGAGGCGTTAGGTGTTGTCGTCAGTCTCACGGGTTTAAACTTTGTATGCTAGAGAGAGGTTTACACATGGTTGTAAGGAATGTTTTGTTCCCTTTTCTAATTGACGTGGGATCGTACCCTAAAACATCTAAGATAATTGACTCTTCCATCACTAAACTGAGGGTTTTAAAGACTTTTTCTAACCTCCAACATCTTCTCAAAATTCCTTTTGCAAGAGGGCGAGATGTTTGATATTCATTCAACTTTTTTCAGTTGACTGTTTTGTTAGTTGTAGCGTCGGTACAACGAGCTGAAGGGACCTCTACGCCTCGTTCCTAGTGTGTAGGTTCAAGATTGGCGGTCAAAATGGTCATTGCGGAATTAATTTTCTAACTCGATAATATTGGAAATATAATTTTTTTTGAAATTGATAGTTTGAATCAATGAAAAAGAATTAATAAGTTGAATTTATAGAATAAAATTATTTTCAAAAGATTCTCATTATTATATAGAAACGATTAAAGATAAAAGAATTTATAAATTTGGTAGGTTAAAAGAATGGCTACCTGGCAAGCTTTTATTGGATGGATTCCAACTCACGCCACCAATTATTTTTTTATTGATAATTCAAAAGTGAAATAAAAACAATTCCATTTGTCAGATAAATATTTATTTATTAATTTAAGTAATTTTAAAAAAAATAATCGATATTATCGATAGAAAGCCACATGGAGATGTCCCTTAAAATTAAATCATAAGTACAAATATTAATTCATTTTCATCATGATTTTATTTAGTATTTTCCAACTACTAAAATAATATTTTATTTAAAAATTATGAGTAATTTTACAAAGACTTGTAAACTAAAACTTTCATTGATTGCATTTATCAATTACAAAATAACTTAATATAATTTCTTTCTATAACAATAACATATGTTGTATGAAAGAAGCTCTTTCCCAACTTTGGACTATAGAAAATAACAATAATAATATTAATAACAACATTAAAAAAAAAAACCCGATAAGATTATCGCTGTTATAAAGCTTCACCGATCGAACTTTCTTTTCTGATGTAAGAACGTAATTAGGGCAACAACGAGCCTCTTAGGTAACGCCACGGTCCTGTTCCACTTCCCATCCTACAACCACCAGATAAATCGTTCAAAATATTTAGAGACGGAATTCCAACATTTTTTTTTCTCAACAGTTGAACTATTCGTTCTCCTTCACTCTGAAAAGGATAATTCAACTGTAGTTATCATTAAAACAATTAATACTCAATAAAAGCACGTAAAAAACATAATAATCCAAAATACGTTTTAATTCACGATTTCATCTAAAAAAATTAAGAACCGATCATCTCGAGAATAGAAGATACCTCAACAATCCTACAAGAGTACGAAGGGCCATGTAGATGGCCAAAGCAGTCCAAATCCCGAGGAAACCATAGCTTTTGGAGAGAAGGAAGAGAGAGAGAATGGTAGCAATGGAAACCAAAGTCTATGGATAGAAAGAAATATGGATTATTAGCATGAGATATAAATTATAAAAATATTTTAAATATGAATCTCGTGATTATTAAGAATAAATGTAACAACGTTGTAACAGTCTTATTGAATAATTTTTCGATTTGAGAACGGAACGTAGTTGACTAGAAAAGAGAGCACATGCCAAAGAGTAGGCAGAGTAAGCAAAATCAGAAGCTCCAAAATTGACTCCGTCAAATACGAATGCTAAAGAGTTCATTGGCTGTGTGGCGGCCACAAACTACGAGAGATTGAGACAAGAAAAATAGTCAGTTCCAATTCGAGACTTTATTTTAGAGCTAAACGAGTAAGGTCGGGTATATAAATCTCGTATATATTTAAAAATATATGATTTATAAATGGAATTATGCTCAAGTTTTGATATAAATGTATTTAAAAGGTTATTACCGGCACTCCGACGTGGATGAGGGCTTGCACAGTTACATCTCCGGAGAAGATTCCAGCTCCGAAGTACATGATCACTGCAACAATCACAGCAAGTCCAACGCCGAGAACGAAGCTCATCTGCATTTTCGCCCCAAGTAAATTCATGCTTACTTACGATTCATGTATTATTTTCTATGTTTCTTTCATTTTGGACTGTATTTTCGTTGGGGAATTTTGTCGAGCATGTTATGTGCAATGCATTAGACTGGGAATTTGGTTACCTGTAGCACTCTTGTGGCTGTAGCCGTTGTCTTGTCGTAGTCTTTCTCTGCAAATGCACAGGCTAGGATCGCCTGAAGGAAGAATTTAACGCCCACAATAAGTGATTACTAGTATTTCTGTTTTGGAGTTCATCAACAAATGGAATGAAACGATTCAAATTTTTGATCTCTTGATCGATTGGAAATGACAGAAGTTCGTAAGTTATGGTTGATAACATGAGGTTTTGATTTTAGTACCTGTCCGGCAACAGCAAGCCCATCAGCGAGGAGGGAGGACGTCATCCAGACTTGTAAGCAAGTCTGGAAGGCAGCCATCGGCGTTGGACCTAGCCGAGCAGCCATGGATGCAGCAAGTGTCACGCAGAAGGTCACAGCTATAACTCTTGCCAACAGCAGACTACCTGCATTCAGAAAAGCTCTACCATGTTGGAACCAATATTGATTTGAATTTGTAAACTTCTAATGGAAATCTTCAAACAACTTTTGATTTCTATGTTGTTGTTTTCAGGTACAAATCTCATTAGTAGAAGAAAAGGAAGGTATGAAGAATGGTTATTACCATTTTTGAGAAATCGACCGAGCTGCAATTCTCTAAGGCTAGGAGGTAAGAGATCCACTTTTTGCATTAATCTCCAAGCTAGAACCAACACAATTAAGTACCTGAGGTAATAATAATATCAAGTTATGATTGAAATGAATGTATTGGAATAACACAAATATGTGAGTGATGATATTACTTACTGAGAAAGAACATGTGCTATGGCTGCACCCTTCACTCCCAAATGGCACACAAATATCAATATTGGATCCAAAATGATATTTGTTGTGTACCCCAAAACTGTTCCAAAAGTTCAAAGAAGAGAATGAAGAAAAGTTAGAGAAAGATGGAAATTCCTAACAGTTTTAAAGAAGTCTGATAAAAATTTTGAGCTACCAATAACATAGAGAGGAGTTCTTGTGTCCTTAAATCCTCTGAAGATTCCCTGCATGGCCAGAGAGAGAAGAACAGCGGGAGCACCAAGTGACCTTAACACCAAGTATTTCATTGCAGGAGCTAGCATTGGAGAGCCCTGTTGATTCAATGTATCAATACTAGAAAAAATGAGTACAATATGGAAGAAGTTGCATTAGAAACCGTAAGCGTCAGGGTTTATTGTTGTTTTCAAGTAAGTTTTTGAAGATGAGGAAACTTACTTGCTTCACTCCCATTACATTTAATAGGAATTTAGCCCCAAATGCAAGGAAAACTGCTTGCAGGAGGCCCAAAACTGTCCCAAAGATCAGTGCTGTGGATGCTGAAGCAATGTGCTTCTTCTCTCTATTCTTGGGCTTGACAGTAGGAGGTTGACTCTTCTTTGTGCTCAAATCTGCGATTGAAAATCCCAAGCTACTCAGTTTGAATATAGAAATTAGATTAATCCCTTCGTTTACTTAGTTATGGTATTAGCAATCTCGTTTTAAGGTTAGAGGTTCAATTCATGATCCTCATCGTTGTTTAAACAATAAAAAGATTTTACCTTTTTCAGAGTTCTCAAGTGTGGCATTTTCTTGTACAGATTCTCTTTTTCCATCATGTTCTTCTGAGGACTTCTTTTCCAACATGTTTGGATTCTTTTCCAAATCATGAATGGTGCCATTTCCGGGTGTCGAATTTCTCGTTTCTTTAGTTATAAGTGAAGCAGAACTACTCTTTTCCAACATGTTTTCCTTCTTGGTTTCATCCTGTAATGTAAGTTCTCTCTTTCGGCCATTCTCTGTCAAATGCTTCTCTGTCTCACCTTTCACTGGTTTTATGGCTGTTTTTCCAATAGTGTCTTCCTCAGCAACAAATGATGTTGTTATGCTCACCAATGGGAATATGGTGATCCTTGAAGCTTGATTGAATATCGCAACAGACACTCCAACGGCTGCAAGTTCAACAGCTCCTGCAGAAGCCAAGTTGAACATTATCTTCATCAATACAAATGATTAAATTGGTTGCAATGAAAAGATAGCAGCAAATGCAAGGTATATACCAATATGGCCGACGAAAATGGTGTCGATAAGAGAAGCAATGGGATCAGCAGCAACAGCTAGAGCAGCTGGAAATGCAATTCCTAGGATCTCTTTTCCAAGATCATCCCACTTGAAAACAAGTCTAGAAGGACATTTCTTTGCATCAGTAACAAATTAAAGAGACTACAAAGAGAATTCAAGAAGCAAAAGATCATGGCGGGTTTCGCCCTATTGACTTTAAAGTGAAAATTGGAGCGGAAAGTTCTATCTATACCTTGCATCCTTGAAGAAAACACTCATTGGCATCTTCCACTGGTTCTTTTTTATCACCAAACCAAGCTCATTAGCCATAATTTAGTTTTTTTTTTTCTTATCTGATCAAGTTCTTAGTCTTTTTATATAGCAATCAGCCACTTGTCTCTCTCTTTCTCCAAATGTCGCAGAGAAGCAAGATATGAAATCTTCAGGCTGAGTGATTATGAGGCAAAACATCAGTTACAATCACAGAAAAACATGGAATGTATGCAAAAGAAATGATGCCTTCTTCACCAAAAACATGGAAAGCAATTGAAACGCATGGAAGCTCTCTTCTGCTCACATGGTGAAGCAGCATGCTGATGAAAAGGTATGCAAATGAATGCAGATATTGAGATGAAAAGACAACCAGTGCTGTGCTCATGACAAGGTATGTGCTTTTTTATACTGATTTTCCAACACTAGCTTTGGAAAGATATGGTTGTCTTAATATTACGCTCAGCATTGGAATCTTGGGATAAAATCTGACCTCCCTTAGTTCTCTCGGTCTGTGAAACAACCTAAAAATGTTCTAACCAAGAGAATATATGTACTTTTTTTAGGACAACTTGGTTGAACAATGAGAAAATTCCTTTGTTGTCTCACTCATGTTGGGACTTCTGACATGTTGGGAAGATTGTTTTCATCTTCACCACCCCAGATTTGCTTCTTTGGAATGATTCCAAATGGCCAATCTAGGATATGTGACATCCCACGTCAGTTAGAGAGAGAAACAAAACATTCCTTATAAGGGTGTGGAAATCTCTCCTTAACAGGTACGTTTTAAAACCGTGAAGCTGACGATGATACGTAATAGGCTAAATTGTACAATATCGGCTAGTGATGTGCTTGGATTGTTGCAGGTTCACGGTTTTTGATGCAAAGAAAGAGAGTGAAATGTTGTTTGCAGAGATTTGATTAAAGATGTAAGTGGTTCAAAATTTGATATACCTCAGAAAGAACCAATTCTTTCCTTTTTGATGTTCATGTGCATGTTCATGTTGAATTTGACATGTCGTGAAAATGGATAGTTAAGTTGCTGAATTATTTAAAGAATATTAGACTTTAGAAAGTGGTTTTATTCTTTATTCTTTTTTTTTTAAAAAAAAAAAAAGCCTATATTTGAATCATGAGTTCATCATATCAAATAAAATGAAACCATATTTAGTTTCATTTGATATGAATTTCCTTCAAACTTATTATATTTAAATTGATTTTAATAAAGTGTGAAAAATATTGAATTACAACTTTGAGATGAGAGTTGAAAACAAAGGTCCAAGTTTTTTTTTTAATTAAATTATTATTTTGATATCTACTGCCATTAAAAAACTAACTTTTTACTCATTACACCCTTGGGCCTTAGATTGGCCCATAATGTAGCCCATGAAGGCCCAATAGTCCTTGATGATTCCCAACAATTTATGCCACTAAAATTACAAGGATTTTATTACAACATTATAAATAAATAAAAAAAAACAAGGAATTATAATCTAAAAAAAGAAAGCTATTCATTTGAATATTTTTTTTCCATAAAATTTTAATGAAAATGCGGAAAAAAAAACCGAGTTTTTCACCTTCAACGATCTTCATAATAAATCTTCGATCTTATACTATCAATAAAATTAAGGTTAAGAATAATTTCGTTGCAGTCTCGAAATTTTCATATTCAGTACGACATGATATTGTAAAGAAAATTCTAAGAAAAAAAAAAGGTTAAAAAGTTATCTAGACGAGAGATGAATGAGAAGTATACCTTTTGTATCCGGAGAAGAATGCCCAAATTCTATTGTTTTTTTTTTGTATCAAATTTTGTTCCACACATCAATCCATCCTCACACTCTTCCCTTTTTATACCATTTCTCATTCCCACACAAAACCCACTTAGAGAGAATGAAAAATTATTGATGTGATATGAAAGACGGCCATAGGATATTTTTATTTTTTCTAATAAATTTATTTTTAATTAAAAAAAATTAAATTGAAATTTTCTTTCCACAATATTTTTCTCTAACTCCAATATAAAATAAAAAAATGTAATTAAAATATAAAAGTTTGAATTAAAAATTTTCAAACCATAGAGACTAAATTGAAAAAAAAATTCAAAATAATTTTATTTACTAAAAACTCGTTAAAAAAACTATATATAGATGAATGAGCGATAATCCAATTCATATGACATATTAGAGTGACCCTTATACAAAAATATATCATATTTATTTTAAGTTCCTAACTTTTAGGGTATGCATTATATTTTTCATATATATATATATATATATATATATATATATACATACATTAGAATAATTTAAACTTACTAAGTGGTTTGAAGTTGGTAGATAACCTAATCTTTATTTCCCAAGTCCAAATTGGGAGCTTCGTAGGATTCCAAACTCTATTTTATTTGCAAATTGCAATCTAAATTTCCATCTATTTTATTATATTTATAAATTCCATTTCAAATATAATCCTTATTTCTTTTTCTCTCATTTTTATGATATTTAAATTCTTAAAAAATGTATAATAGATTTGTGAAGAAAAGTATACGATAAAAAATTAATTTATCTAATATTATAAAATTCGAAGGTAATGAGTCGTTATAAATAATATCAAAGCGATGCCTCTCTTAGTAACATGTGGTTTGAGGATGAACCAAGACAAAAGCTGACGGACATGTGACATCCAAGTAAAGAATGGGTACATGAATAAACTGAAACTACATCCAAATGAAAACGATTCTGAAGGCAAGGATGACTCAGAAAGACTTTAAGTAAATGAAAGTTAGTACCTATACCAACAAGGTGCATGTTCATTTTTCGTGGCTTAATCATATAGAAACTCCATAGTTAAGCGTGCTTTGTTTGGAGCATTTATATATTGGGTGACCTCTCGAGAATTTTTCTAAGATACATATGAGTGAGGATAAAATATGCTGGAAACACTTGTGTTGGTCTGTATAACGTCTCCAACGAATAGAGTTTAGGTTTAGGAGAGATTTTTAATTTTTTAAAAACGAGTACATGCAAAATAGCCATCTTACCTTTAATTTTAAGATAAAGTTTTAATGTGAATTAAAATATTTGGTTGCTTTTGTGACATAAAGTGATAAAAAAAATAGTAGGAATTGTACGAAAAGATCAAATATAAAATTAAAAAAAATATAAAGTGTGTTTATGAAAAGATTTACTCAATAATTAAATTAATATAATTAATTATTCCACTTTGAAAATGGAATTAATGATGAAAACCAGAGTTTTCGTCTCTTCTCTCTCTTTTTTTTTTATTCAAACCGTACAAGAAATTAAAAACAAAAGTACTTTAATATTCTAGAAGAGTACAATAAATAAATAAATAAATAAATTCATTGTGACAATTTATAGTGGTATTCGTACAATTATAACTAATATGAATAGATATTTATATATAATATATATAATTTAAATTATTTTATATAAAATTTAAAATTTATCTATGAAAAAAAAATCATTTTTATCTTAATTTTAAACCTTAGCATTTTTTTAGTATTTTTATAATAAAATACGAGCTTGTTAAAAAGGTCAACCTATTAAAATAAAAACAAATAACACAAATATATAATATTTTAAACAAAAAAAAATATTTATGAAATTTAAAATTAAATAATTCAAGAACAAATTACAAATTAATATCAAAATCAAATATTATATAATTTCGAGAAAAAAAAAGTAATCAATCATATCAAATGTAAAATCATTTCAAATATAAAGAATTGAGAAAAAAAAAATAAAGAACAAGAAAATCTGATGTCGGCCATAAAAGTGTTCATACAAAGCGTGGATTAAACGGACTCCAATGAATTTATGTGTCTCCTTTGTTCTTATTCAAATATTTTCAACTGATATTTATTTATTTATTTATAATTTTTGTCGAGTAGAAAAACATTTTAACTGAGATATCTCGTTAAAATAAAAGAGAAACGAAAAAGAAGAATCAATAAAAAGATTTTTTGTTATATCGTATCAAAAAAGTATAATATATTATTCAGATATCAAGATATCTGTATCTTGATCAAAATTTCACACTCATTAAACAATATAATATAAGTTATTCATTTAATTAAACTCGAACCAATATCGATTGATTTTCATGTTTTTATATACTTTTTTTTAAAGGATTATTGTCCATGGTAATGAAGATAAAGCCGAAGTGTTAAGAGTGAGAAATAGAATTGAGATGAAGGTGTGTATTCTCATTGATATTCATAACGTTTGAATAGGATACAAGCTACCAACTAATATCTAAATGAAAATATAAACTAATTAAATATTGAGAATAAAATAAAATATACTACTAATCAAATTATTTGATTATAAACGAAAGAATATTAAAATATAATATTTAAGATATATTCCATATCTAATTATTATAATATATTTTTCAAATATTATACTTCTAATTACAAATAGAAATATATATATATATGAAAAAATTAATGAAGAATCCAATTCTCATTAAAATAAATGAAAATCAAAATATGTCTCGTCCTACACCGTACACATCTCTAGTTAGAATGGCAAAGAATCGAAAGAAGGAATCGAACCCTATATTTATATATAATTAAATAAATAAAACTTGAGCTTTCGAGATGAAATATACTAATATACTAATAAGATTCTCAAGATTCTAAATCGTGCCTACTGAATATAATCATTTAATTAATTTACCAATCAAATACAAGAATAATTAATAATATTTTATAATAAAAAATGGAATTAAATGGGTTTATAAAATTAGTTACTCCAACAAAATTTAAATATTTTAAAAACAAATCCGTATCAATCAATTGGCACAAAATATCTTGAGTGAGAAAAGCACTCAAAAATATTTATCTTAAATATTTAAAAGCATTTGGTGGGGATATATTCTTTTTTTTATAATAAAATATTATAGAGGAAAATTCCATTGGCTATTTCAAGATAAAATTTTGGACAAAAGGATTAACCCACTGTAAAATTTTATCACTTTCTTTTTATCTTCAACTTTTTCTTTTTGTTGGATTTTTTTCTTTTTAGTTTCAAATAATTTGGAAGTGATCGTGATTTTGATTTGTTAATGTAAAAACGATGTTCATAAAAATAAAATGTAACGACCTAGATCCACTGTTAGTGTACTTTAAAACACGTCGGTTAGGGGAAGGTTTCCACACCGCTGTAAAAAGTGTTTTGTTCTCCTCCCCAATCAATGTAGGACATCACAATCCACCCCCCTTCGGGGTCAGCGTTCTCACTGGCACTCGATCCTTTCTTCAATCGATGTGGGACCACCACCAAATCCACTCCCCTTCGGGGCCTAGCGTCCTTACTGGCACGCCGCCTCTTGTCTACCCCCTTCGAGGAACAGCGAGAAGGCTGACACATCGTCCAGTGTCTAGCTCTGCTACCATTTGTAACGACCCAGGCCCACCGCTAGCAGATATTGTCATATTTGGGCTTTTCCTTTCTGGCTTCCCCTCAAGGTTTCAAAACGCGTCCGCTAGGGGAAGGTTTCCACACCCTTTAAAGAGTGTTTTGTTCTCCTCCCCAACCAATATGGGACATCATATAAAAAGTCGTGTTCATCCTATTGTGTAATTTCGCAGTTGTTGAAAGCTTTATTTGTACGATCATTATTTAGGGAAAATAATGAAATAAAGAGGCCCCGTGATGTGAAAATTATAGACTTTTAAAAGGGTGAGAGACTTGATGATCACTAAGGAACCAAAACGATATTGAAAGTGACATGGACATTAGAGTACTCGTCTCCAATCATGAACCCTAAGCACACTATGGAAAGTTATTGGAAAAAGATGGCTTTGACATTCAAAATCGATATATACAAAAGATGAACGTGTTCGTCTTTATGTAAATAGTATTTTCTTTTCCGTAATGATATGATATTTTTATTTCAGGTTCGTGATGTTTCATATATAAGCTCTTCGTCGGAGATCGATTATGGTAATATATAATATAAGAACTGGTTAAATTAATGTTACGAAGAAATAATGGTTAAGAAAAGCAATAGAAATATATGAACCTTGGATGTATATATATATATTTTTTAATTTATTAATTCTTCTTTATGTCTTTAAGGGATCGGTTTCCACACTATTTTGTTCCTCTCTACAACCGAGGTGGATCTCACAATCCACCTCTTTGGAGGCCAGCGTCCTTACTGGCATACCGCCCGATATTTGACTATGATACCTCCATTTGTAACAGTCAAGCGCACCGCTGGTTGATATTGTTTGCTTTAGCCCGTTACATATCGTCGTTAGCCTCACGATTCTAAAACGTTGTCTACTAGGGAGAGGTTTCCACACCCATATAAAGAATGTCTAACTCTGATACGATTTGTAACAGTCCAAGCCCACTACTAGCAAATATTGTCCACTTTGGCTCATTACATATCGCCGTCAATCTCACACGCGTCTACTACGGAAAGGTATATAAGAAATGTTTTATTCTCCTCTCCAACCGATGTGAAATCTCCCAAGCATACAACCGAATATTTCTACGAACAATCAGTAGCAAATACATATTACTTAAAACGATCAAATTAAACAAACCATATCATATGATTATGAAAAATACAAAAATATCAATTGTCCTTACATATTTCGTACGAACGCACGATCACGATCACGATCACGATCGATTCAATGGAAGATTTTAAAATCCCCAAGTGTTTAGAGGGGAAGGGATTGGTTAGTGATTTCATATCATGGGTGTTTCCGTAGTGGTGAAAGGCCACGCCTAGCAGCTATGGTGGCGTTAATGCCCTAATTCTAATTTGCTTCTACAACAAATGAGACATAAGACCTAACATATTGCTGTTTTCAGGGGCGCCCCCCCACCACCATTTCATATCATATTGCACCTTTTTCAATTTTGTGCCATAACTTTTTATGTTTTATGTATTTTTTTTTTCATTTTTTTCCTAATTTAGAATATTTCGGACCACAACTTTTTGGGTTCGATGAATGGCGTGTACCGGATTAATTTGATGGTTGGATCTTTCGTTTTGATGGTGTGAGTGCATGTCGTTGATATTATCAAATGGACCCTGACACCTATTGATCAACTTAGATGGTGAGGAAATACCCGTGAACTGGTCATAAAGCTGATATAGATGCGGGGTTTTCACGTCATTTGAGTTGTAATTTGACGAAATTAAAAAATTGATGAAAGTGATATAGATGCGTTCACCCGAATTTTTTTAAGATTAGTTTTGATTGAATCCAGTCCATTCGAATTTATTGTTAATTTTTTTAGGATATAAGATTTATTATACCTTTATTTAATTTCATAATTATTATTTATTCTCCAACCACTTCTTCTCCATTCCTCTCATAATACCCTTCCTCCTCACTATGGTCAGTCTCGTCACTAGAAATAAATTCGAATAGTGGGAGAGAGTGCACTACGGGAGGAGGGGGCTTCGTGGGTCGGGTTGGGGAAGGTGTCGGAGCTGCGAGGCGGGTGGATGCTTCCTAGGTCGGCTTCTTGGGTCGAACGTTTAACTTTGCACCAAAAATGACACTATCTCGATAAATGATAATAAAAGTAGAGAAAAAGAGAAATATTTCTTGGTTTTGAAGTCATAGAAGAAGGGCATATAGGGTAATGATCATAAGGGTAAGAAATAATAAAAATGATTTATAGCTTTAATTTGCTTTTACATCAAGATATTATCATAACCTTAATACCTCTCATTTACTCTTCCCTCAATATTTACACATCATATTATATATATATATATATATATATGGGAAATTTTCATTTTTTTAAATAAATTTCATATACATTATATTAATATTTTATTATTTGTACAAAAGTAAGTATTTCTTTTAGAAAAAGTGCGACACTCGAGTAAAAGAGGAGAACATGAATGAACAGAAACCACAGCCGAATGAGAGAGATCTTGAGGATAAGGTAGCTAAGAAAGGTTTAAAAGAATTAAAAATCACTATTTATACGGTGCATGACTCAATCATAATGTTTTGTTTGTAGCAATTCTATGTTGAGTTGAATTTTCAGTTAACTAAACATTATTTTATTATAAACTTGGATGAGAAAAATTTGTACCATGATTTATTATTTTTGTAATTTCCATATGTATTATTTTCACACAAATAAATCAAGTTAATTGCGCATTAGCCCTCCAAAATTTCTCAAGGATATAAAGCAATTTTTATTTAGATATTTACTTTTTTTTTCTTTTTCTGAATAAAATGAATTTCTTTTCAACCACGTTTTTTTTTTCTGGTTTTTGTAACACGTGTCATCGAGGCGTGTGGCCTGATTTTGCCTGCTAAATATTAATGCTGACTATTTTATTTTTCAAAAGACAATATAATAATAACGATAATAACAGTAATAATAACAGAAAGTAAGATAAATACCCAGCGTTGAAACAAAAATTACAAATCTGCCACACTGTGTCAAACTTTTCTAAAGAGTCAAAGTTATCCCAAATATGTATAATCCTTTTTATTTATTTATTTATTTATGTAAACTCATTTTCCACCGAATATTACAGGGACTAAATTGTTACATAATACCGCAAAAAAATTAAATCATTATAAATTTAAAAATAAGATTAAATTGTTATAAAATTAAAGTTCAAATACTAAATTTTACCTTCATGAAAAATAATATTTTTAATATATACTTGATAATCTGTTGCTATGTTGCATGCATGTGAGTTGAAGTAACTAGGATATTGATTTATAGTAAAAATGGATTAAAGTGATATATATTAATCTTAAAGATAAAATCTCCAACTCTAAGTTGTCCCTTATGAGGTATGAAAAATAATACTCGGGAATTCACTGAATTCTTTGATACTAAAAACTAAACGTATACAAATGGAAATGATATATAAAATTTAACTATTTGAATTATACTTAAGTTGAGAATACAGTGGTTTAATATTATTTTAAATTATTATATCCGTTTTAAAAAAAGATCATGGATAATAATCTGCTTCTTTTTTTTTAGTTCGTTCAACAACAAGTAGGGACGAGAAATGTGATTGAATGTGTATATTTGGATTTGTACATATAAATGATAAAACAACAATGATACTCAGAAAAGACCATGCTTTGAAGCTACACAAACTTACTCAAAATTCTCTCGAGTTTGGGCAACAAAGGTGCTTTGTTGTGCAATGCAAAAAGCACTACCTTCTCTCTAACTCTCTCAGCTGCAGAATTTGGGAATCAACTTCTTGAGCCTCCCAAAAACACAACACCTAAACCAAAAGAAACCTCTTTTCCATTTTCATTCATAGGGCTTCAACCATGGCCAGTCAAAGAACAAAACTAATTTTCTTATTCGATTTTTTAAAAAAATTTATGGGGTTTTATTGAGAGAGAAGAAATCATCATATATGGGGAAATATATAAAATTTTAAGGGGTTGGTTTCTCAAAAACTCCCTTAAACAAATGGGTTCGAAAAGCTTTTTTTGAAAAAAATTCTAAGTAAATGAAGATTTGTAGAGTGAGAGGGTGGAGATTGAAGATCAAAGAAAATGAGGAAATGAGGATATGTCCAGCATAAAACTCTCCAAATCCCATTCATTACCCATCTTCAAGCTTTCTTGTACTTGTCCATGGCTTCCCATATCTCCAAACATCTCCTCCACATTCAAATTCTGCTCATTTGTACCCAAATACTCATCAAAATTGCTTCTGTTGTTCATCTCTTCATGTGGAAGACATAGCACTTCCCTTTCAACCTCCATTGATCTTTGAGCCTCCAAACTTCCATAGCTAAGTCGCTCTTCCATGATCATTCTCATTCCCATTTCTGTCGCGCACCCTCCCGGTGCCTGCAGAAAGCCATTGGTGGCACCAACCATGGATGCCATTTCGAAGTTGTTGTCTAGGAAAGGCATGGATGAACCGTCCAACGAGTTGTGTCCTGTGGCAGAAAATGGAAGCTGGGAAGATGATGACGAGGTCGATGATGAATCCATGCTCAAGTTCATACTCATGATCTCATGTTCTTGCATCGCCATTATCCCTCCAAACATCATGTCCAACCTAGGATCCGATGATTCGTGGTTGCTGAATGGTGTGGAGGAGAGGTTGTTTTTTAACCTTTTCTTTAATGTGGAATTCCAAAAATTCTTTATTTCATTGTCGGTACGTCCAGGCAAACGGGATGCAATTTGAGACCACCTATTCAAGAAAACAAGTTCATTAGTCTTTGGGATTCAAAGAAAGAATGGATTCAAAATATCATTGCTTCTGGAACAAGGAATGATATTATAACATGACATGAAATCCATGTCATTGTCTCTGTTTAAACCATCTAAAGCCAAATATCGTATCATATTACACCAATAACATTTCTGAATAAAGCTACAGCAAATGACATGTTTCAAAACAATGAACATTCGAGAGAAGTCAAAGAAATCTCTTCACTCGAGCATTTAAGATTTAGTGATAATTTAACCATAATAACTCAATGTATATAAACAGAAACAACACATGTGATAACAAGCTTGAGAGGTATTCTTCATGAATGTAGGGGAAGGAAAGGGTTCTTCATCATTGTCTTTAGTTGTTTCTCCTAAAAACCCATTAGAAACTCTCAATTGGGTATCAAGAAAAATGTGTCGAGAGGAGAAAGAAGAGAGAATAGAGAGGGAGAGAGAGAGGACCTGTTGCCAATAAGGGAATGCAAATGGACAATAAGCTCTTCTTCCTGAGGAGAGAAAGCTCCACGTTTGAGGTCGGGTCTAAGGTAATTAATCCAACGAAGACGACAACTCTTGCCACATCTCTGAAGCCCTGCATTCCTAGCAATGTCACTCCAACACCCCTGTCCATCGCTCAACATATACCTCATCAGCTTCTCGTCCTCCTCCGGCGACCACAGGCCTTTCCGGTACTTGTTCTTCTCCACATTCTCTTTCCCAAGACCCGCCTCCGGTTTCCTCATTCTTCTCTCTTCTCTTCTCTTCTTTTCTCTTCACTTTTCCTCTCTTTTCTTCCCTTTTACTAACTGGGTTTGGTCCCTGCATGGAGAATTGAATATATATATATACATATATCTAATGTGTGTGCGTAGAGAGGAAAAAGAAAAAAGAAAGAGAAAAATAGAAGGCTTCATGGCGTGGTAAGGGTGATGATGATGGAGATGGTTGGGGACGCCTTTGTTGCTTGAAGAACATGAATTTGAATTGTGAATATTTGTGTCCAGAAAGAGAGAGAGAGAGAGAAGATTGTGTTGGTTGGTTGCTAGGTGGAGTGGAAAACGGATTGGAGGGGGACCTCCATTTGTGTATGTGTCTCTTTGTGAACAGAGAGAGAGAGAGAGAGAGAGAGAGAGGGAAGGGGATGGTAGGTCTTCTTGTCTTTGACTCAATTCTTGTCTTTTTTTTTGAATTTTTCTTCACTCACAAGGTAATCATTGTCTTCTATATAACAAAGAACTACAGTTTTGCTTCCACTTCACATAATAATCTCTCTCTCTCTCTCTCTCTCTCTCTCTCTCTAAAGACACGTGACTATGAAGAATAAACCTAGAGAGAGAGAGTACATGAATGTACTTGGGTACTTTGGGATGTGTTTTTTTTACTGTTTCCACAATTTGATAAATGTTTCTGTTTTCGTTTTTTTTCCAAATATTGATCCCTTCAATTGGAGATTGTCCATTCATTCTTTGCATGAAGATCTCCTTTCATCTCTTCTTGAACAGATTTCTTCACAACATGAACTAAATCTTCCCAAGAAAATTGCTACTTTTAAAGAGGAATCCACGACATATCATCTTCTTGTTGACCCACAGCTACAAATAGATAGATTGATTATGTTCTAATTCAATGAAAGTTAATCTAGCCAATCCATTCCTTTCTTTTAGCCTAATTTCTTCAACGTCGCACGTAAAACATGCCATAGAAATGATGGTGAGACTTTGAAGAGCACCCTAGAAAGTATTTGGTTCAACCTCCAATGAACTTAATAACTTGAAACATTGTTGTCTTTTAGAACTTACTTGGAGCATCAAACTTCCCCGAGAAGGTGGACCGTAAAAGCATACGGCAAGTAGTGGGGCCTTCAATGCCCCGAGTTTTTCCAGGAAAAGATCTTTTATAATATTGGTGTGCCATTCCAGCATCTGGTACTTATTTTCTGTTCTCAAAGAGAAGGAAAAAGGAAAGCCAAACATGTAATCGAACAGATCTAAAATAATTGAAGTGGGTGCAAAGGGCAATGCCAATAATCAAAAGAATTAGCCCAATAAATATGGTAAAATCAGTTTGTGAGCATTCTTGATACTAAAGTAACATGAACAGAGATATTGCTTGCTACATCAGTTAAAAGATAACACGACCCATCAAATAGTTAGCTCCATTAATTGCAACAGTAACTCAAATTCTTTCATTACCAACAACAATTTCAAGCAATCTAGGTAGCCTAATTGATTGTCTACGTGGTATTTGTGTATTCTTATCCAAAAGCATACCCATCATTGCTGTCAATTGCTTGAAATGTGCATAAGAATTATACAAGTATTTCATACGTATTCATCACCCTTCCCTATTCATTCTACTTCTTTCTTACCTGATCAAAACAGATTTTCAAGTTTAGATCCTTTCTGATAAACACAGTTCATGTGCATTTAAAGATTCATACGGTTCATGCTAAAATAAAAAAATTGGTATCCAATGAAAATCACAGAGACCGACAGAAACAAAGGCTACCCCCCTTCAAAAAAAGAAACAAAAAGAAAACAGAAGAGAAGAAGCCCATTTTCTGTCAAGGAAGTCTTTATTAAGCAATTCCTTCATCTACCTAATCCCTCTCCCTGCATGCCAAGTTTGAGAGAAAGAAACTCAATCTATGCACCATATGATCATGGAAAATCCACCATCATTTCCCAGTCATTTTCTCAGAGAAAACAGTTGTATAGGTCTTTGTCATCTTGAGATTGTTAGGGAGAATAAATTATTCTAGTCTGAGCTTCCCTTAGTTTTTCTTTTTTTCTTTTTTTTCTTTTTTTTCCTGAAAGAGACTACATAAATTTTCTGAGGAAAAAAGCAAGTGGTAAACTCCAAAGCTACTCAAATGTTCAAAAAAGCATTCTATTTCTATCTAGATACAGCTGTACGAAAAATTCAAGTCATGATTATGATCCAACACAAAGCAACATCCAACTTGGACACAAAGATAAGAAAACCAACCTGTTCCTCAATACACCAGGCATTCATCAGTGCCACAATGGAATTTAACCTCTCTTTTTTTTTTTTTTTTTTTTTTTTTTTTTTTTTTTTTTTTTTTTTTTTTTTTT